TCCGAGAGACATGGGCGTTGGCTGGCATTGTTGACTTACCTGTTAGGGGTGTGTGTGACGTCGCCAAACATTGCCTTCTCTAGCTCACGGCGCGGCTGCTGGACGTGGCAGTTTGTCAAAAACACATTAAGTTCATTATTTTCTCGTGTGTTTCAGCCTGGAATGAAAGTTTTCTATCAATATGTGAGCCCAATATTTCAATTCGGCTGGTAAATTTTGGCAGCAAAAGTATCATTCAGTAGTCATTTAAAGAAGTCCCAGTTTCTATGCCAAAACTTAGTCTTTTCTTCTTCGTTTTGCAACGAATAGCGAAGGGCCTTGTAATCATGGCTGGAAGCTTCACTCGCTCGAGGTGTGCGCCGATTTACTGTTTGAAAATATTTTTTATAGCTCCCAGTTGCAGTTTCGGTATTCAAGAGGGTGGGACCTAGCAGGGTTTTACATTAATACGGCTGGTGCCACGTGGACGCACAAAGCATTGTTCAGCGTTGCGTTCATCGGATCACTGCATTGAGAACTCTACCAGTGTGTGTAAGCAAAGAGTGCTGCAGCCTACACAAACTTGTGATGCAGGTGGTCAACATTTAATTTAAGTTGAAGTCGATTTCTCGAGGATCTGCTATCCATGTGTGCTTGCGTAGCACACGCTTTGCAATTGATTTGAATTATGTTCTATGCTCTGCTGTATGCCTTAGCTGTTGTTAACTATTGTTACGCTTAACCATGCTTAGACGTCACTAAATGGTTGACATAATCGCAGCTATTCTAGCCATTGTTATCGGAAACCTTGCTAGGCTAGCAGGACTTGCTTTAAAAAACCGAGCTGACAAATGGCAGACGTGGCGCAAGTCGCCAGACGCGACTGGTGCAAGTTGATTTGCAACATTGTAGAGGATTTGACAGGATGGCAGACGTGGCGCAAGTTGATTCGCAACCTTGTAGAATATTTGACAGGATGGCAGACGTGGTGCAAGTTTGCCAGACGCGACTGGTGCAAGTTTATTTGCAACCTTGTAAAGAATTTTCACAGAACGAAACTCCAGTCAGGGGGAAAATGCCATGTTTACTCGTGTAATTTGTGCCCTCATGTATTTTGTACTCTCTCACCCGCCCGCCGATGCGCACACAAAGAGACCACGCACCTTCGGACGCATTGGACGGGTGCACTGGGTGCCTCGTTCACCAAATAAGCACAGTCCAACAGGCTGTGAGTGCAAAGTCCCTTCTTCCGAGGGCTTTCCACGAACTAGGGTTCTTAGAATATCGTACCCGAACACCAAACCTGACGGGTCACCGGAACTGCTCGAGTGTTTGCCTTCCCCTACTCCCCATCTTAACTCCCTGAGAATGAACGCTCGCGCCACGGCACCGACAACTTTCTGCATTGGAGGCGTGCGAGGGCCTATCGGGCCAACTGTTTCTCTCATTCTCTGTGTGCGCTGTAACGCACGCTTGGTTCATTTTGGAAGTTTGTTTCTCCATCTCTCTTTCGCGCTCTTACAGTTCCCTTGCGATGGGCAATGATGATTATATAAACGGCAAAGCTCAAGCTGGCTGTTGCACAGTTTGTCGAAGAAAACTGGAACCTGTGTCGCCCTCAAGCACTTCGGTGTGAAGTTCTTTAATGTGTGACAATCGGCTCAATCGGTACGGGAGAAAGTGGAAGAGTGTGCGCTTGTAGTACAAATTTTCTTGCTGCTTATATGCGTGTTTTTAAAGATTCATCTCGCAAGTTATGTCGCTTTCAAATTTTTCTAGAAAGCACAGCATTGTGCTTTTCTGGTTAACTTGGGTGTGTCGCAGGTCGTTGGCACGTGAGTGAACGTTCTGCACATGCACATGCTTGGCGACCTAAATGGGGATGCAGCTTGTGGCAGAGCACCTGAGTCATCGCAGCAGTGCGACTTGTGTGACTTGCGACGGGTAATGGGAACTTTACTTGCCAATATAATGGCCTCCATCAAGCAGTGGCACATTTTGAGGCACCTGCAGGCTTCTTTCTCAAAAAAAGACTGTCAAAATAATGGTCTTGACACGGGCTAGCAACGAGTTACCGTAATCACTCGCTTAATGAACTCGCCTTTTTCTTTTTTTCAGAAAAGTTGAGCCAATTTGAAAGGAGGGTTCAGCACGCGGGAAAAAAACTTCACGGGATTATAACAGCGAAAATTTTGTGACGGCTTTGCTTGTTTTGGCCCATGAAATGCGCAATCAATCTTTTTTTTTTTTTAGCCTGAAGCTCTTATTGTTTCCTCCCGTAACGAAAGCGCATCAATCGACACCGGTGTCGTCCAGTTGTTCGATTCCCATGCTCCAGCGCATGCTGTTCCTAACCAGCCGTGTAGCTAGCGTACCGGCAGCAGGTGTCCCAACTAAGTTCACAGCGACAAGCCCGACAACAAAAATGCAGAGTCGGCTGGCGGCACACAAACGTTGCGGTCGACGTTGCAAGTGCACGACGGCGCCGTGGGTGTGATTGCGCTTCGCATAGTCTCCGACATGGCAGACGTGCGGCAAAGACACACGCTGCGCGCCTGCCATTTCGGAGGCCACACACTTTGTTTTTGTGCCGCTGTGTTTGCATGGCGCTATCAGCAAAGAGGTTTCTTCAGCATTCAGTATATCGTGGTTTGCTGCAAAAGCGCGCCTTCCAAATTTTGACTGACGTCATCCGTGCTCGCAACTAGCATGGTTGTGAGACTGTGTTGATTGAATGTTGTTTTGATCACCAACGCCACTGGCTATCATACCGAAATAAAATAAACAGATACATTTTAAAAAACTCTTTCTTATTTCAAGAATCAAGGTGGGGGGTGGGTTCATTACGCGAGTAATTACGGTATGCCCCTTCGAAGGTTTCGGCCACTACTGCATCACCTGTACTTGCTCGATCATTTAGAGGGATGTCATTTGCAGGCATTTTATCTGTGCCGACTAATCCGTATTGCACTGGTCATTTTCAATCAACTCACTTTGCGCCGGATCGCCCTCATTTGCTGCAGTGCCGTTGTGCGGATTCAAGTGGAAATAGTCTGTGTTGCCGGTGTCGTCTGGCGCGTCTTGTGCCTAGGCATAGCCTTCAGAACCGGTTTGTGCAACATGTCAGTGGAATGTGTATGCTTTCCCCTGGCAGATTCGAATTTGTGAAACCCGACCATTCGCTCCAGTATTTTAGCAGCTGTGCTTAATTGACCAGCTTATCTGACAGCTTTTCCGATGTGCCAGGAGACTCCCCGAGTGCCAGGAGACTCCCCGATTTCTGGCCAATCTCCTGTTGTACTGGGCACGGCCATAAATATCCCACTAAACAGTCATAATGACAATAACAAGTGACAACAGTTCTAAATGTTTTCTGGCCTTTAGGAACTACAGCTGTTCGCTGTGGAATTTCCCCCTTCCACTGATGTAGGGGGGGAGGCCATTGCTGATGCGTTGGTGTGTGGCTTTGTATTTACCCTTTGATATGTTATCCTTATCTCGACAAGGAACTTCTGATAAGGTCACACTGCAGCACATGCGAGGTTAGTTTCGCCTTTGTACAATGTTATGCAGTAAAGCGTGTGCCAAGTGTAGGAAAACCCTGCTATATTTCGTGGGTTATAGCAGATGTTCCTGCATGGATGTGCAGTTACACGTGTGTGCTGTAATTTTGAGCCCCGGTTTGATCGTTGGTGTTAAATCGCCTTAGTCGCAGAGGCCACAAAAACGACGTTGGGCTATATTCTGCTGCCAGGAGAGAACAAGGTGTACTGGTGCTATCATCGTCACATACCTGCCAAGTCTCCCGCATTGTCTGGGAGACTCCTAGATTTCGACCATTTCTTCTGTTCGGGCGATTGTCATGAAAATCTCTTGGAAATTGAAATTTGTGTGCAAGATCTGGCCGCATTGACGCAAATGCAGGTCAGTTCGTTCCGGGCTTTTTGTGAGCTCACTGCATTTTATTATAAACAAATTTGAGAGGCGTTCATCTAAACGTACAGTCAAGTCTCAGCGATGCGAAACCATGGCAGATAAGATTTCGTGAAATTCCCCAGCCAAATTCATGTGTCCATTGGGCCAAAATTCGAATGTTTTGAACACTTTTCCTGATTGTGGCATGTGATATGAACTTTACTACCGAAAACGTCGAACGAAGGCCGATCGACAGCAGCATGCTCGAAGCTTCAGCAGTCTGCATGGTACCAGCACATACACTGTCTACAGTGTGTGTGCTACAATCACACGCACTGTAGACAGTGGTTGTCGCTGCCACAACCCCTGTGGCCGAAACCGCGGTCGTTTGACACGGTCATGTGTGGCGATCACGTTATATACTGACAGAACTCCGCCGCGGTGGTCTAGTGATTAAGGTACTCGGCTGCTGGCCCGCAGGTCGCGGGATCCAATTCCGGCTGCGGCGGCTGCATTTTCGATGGAGGCGAAAATACTGTAGGCCCGTGTGCTCAGATTTGGGTGCATGTTGAAGAACCCCGGGTAGTCCAAATTTCCGGAGCCCTCCACTACAGCGTCTCTTATAATGATATTGTGGTTTTGGGATGTTTAACCCCACATATAAATCAATCAATCAATCACTGACAGAACTCGGAAAGTGTGCGTGCAGCCTAACGCTTAACCAGTCAAAGCAACGCTGCTTTTCACAAACTCTGGGCAAAACTGCAGCAGTTTGCAATCATGGATAGCATACAACGACTTGGTTTTGAAGGCACTTGCATTAAAAACAAACTACCATTGCTCAGTTGAAGAAAATGTGTATGAGAGCCAGCCATAGTGGTTGACGCCCTATCGATGTCCACTACTTCCACTGCTCCCGTGGATGTGCACAGTTTGGTTGATCGCGAGTGTGCTTGCCTTAAGAGGTGTTAGAATTTGGTAATGACCATGTTACCGCGACATCTCACCTCGTTTACCTGAGTGTGTGATGGTTTGTTAATTACGTAGGAGGCACTTGATTCGGTGGTACCTTTGCTGATGTCTCTCCCATTCCTTCTCTTGTGCAGGCCAAGACGACAAAGAAGATTGTGCTGCGTATGGAGTGCACCGAATGCAAGAACCGCAAGCAGCTGCCCATCAAGCGCTGCAAGCACTTTGAGATCGGCGGTGACAAGAAGCGCAAGGTATGTGCAATTCAGTGTTGCCAGTTACGTTTCTAATAAGCAGATTTGGCTTTCTTCGCCGAATTGCTTGTAGAATTTTTCAGCCGCTGGTCAAGTTTTTTTAGGGGAAGAAGGGCTTGTTTTTTTTTCCAGTTAATATAGCTTTTAAGGAATTTTTCTTCTTTTTCGTTTCATTGCATTTCCGGGCAGCACGTTTGCCGTTCACTAATTGCACATTCGACTTCGTGTAGTTTGTCGTTCACTAATTGCGCATTCCACTTCGTGTAGTTGAGTGTTAGTCATACTTGCAGTGGAACCCCGATTATACGACTTTCAGGGGACCATACAAAAGAAGTGCAGGTGTCTGTAATCAAAAAACTAAAAATACAAGCAGTAACACTCAGCCTTGCACAAAGAAACGGGTACAGGCTGCCTGAATCAAGGCGTGTGCAATAGTGCTTGCACTGTTTGCACAAGAATAAATTTTAAATTCTGAGAGGGGGGGGGGGGGACATCCTGTCTAAAATCTCTACCTTCTAATCATCAACCTGAGGAAACGCAGTCATATTTTACACTCACGAGTATTCACGAGCGTTCGATGTATTTAAAGGCGTTCTTTTTTCATTTTGCACAGAATTTAAAAGAATTCTAAGAATTAAAAGATGGGGGTTGGGTGTAAAATTGTGTCATAAAACAAAGGTTTCAAATGCTTTTTCGCTATGGTGATTTTGCCAGAATCCAACTGATGCGTCTTAAAAAGTTGGTTGACGTATAATCGAAGTTTCACTGTAGATTGGTGAAGTCAACAAAGAATGTTAATCATGCATTGAAAAACGTGCATGCTACCAAATCAAGATTACCTTGGACACAATGTTGTAAAGTCAATGTGATATCGTTCTTATTTGAGTATATTTTTGCTGGCCGAAATAATTGGGGGGGATCTTTTCAACTCCTTTGTATTTGAGTCACATTTTTTCATGATTAAAATATTTTGAATGGTAAAATTAAGTTCTGGCTTATTTTGGTTTTTCTTTTTGTGAGAATTATTCGCCTGTTAGCTTGCTAGCTAGCATGTGGCAACACTGGTTCAATTAGACTGGATATGTCGCGTGCACTTTGTGGTGTATCGAGTTTTGTCCGAATTGGGGTGCTAATATCCCCTACAGACACGAATTACACATTGATATAACGAGACTGGATATAATGAAATATTGGTTATAACGAAGTAAATGAAACAGTCTTCCAATAGGTACAGCGGTAGGGAAAAGCCTTTATAACGAGTTTTTGGATATAATGAACTTCTTTTTGTGTAATATGCAACTTAGTTTTAATGAGATTTGAGTGTATGATCCGCTGTCTACAAATACATCAAGTTAGTATGACGATTCCAAGGCACTCAGCATTACATTCCAAGAAAGCAAATAAAGGAATGTATTCTTTTGCATGAGTTTTAGTAATTAATCTGAATTAGTATGTAATCAATGTAATTATCCTGCAATTAGTTTCATCAATTGCATAAAATACTCAAATATAGACCCAAAGTGCATGCATAGCTTGTTTTTTGTTGTATTTGCTAGAAGCCAGAAAGTACTCTTGATGCTGTTACTGGTACGTGGCACGTCGCACGATCATCAAACACGGTAGTGTCTTCCATAAAGTGATCCTCTGCAGCAATACGAGGCACAATGAAGGTGGATGATCGCTAGTTGACCGTTCAATAAGCCTGCACGAGCGTGCACACTGAGTTTTAAGCGAATTGAAGCATGTGGTGTGTGACGTGCCCCCAAAGTTGATGTGTACTATTTGTACAGAAAGCTGGTACGGGGTTATAAAGTACTAGTGGAGCTACTGGCTTTTGCTCAATGTGTTGCCGAATTAGCACCATTCAGCCAGTGAACATTTATTGCGCGATTGTGTGTGGTTAGCTGCGCTAACAAATCTAAAGTGGACATGGGCTGCACTGATTGCCGCCTTTTATTTATGGCCACAGCGTGTGCCAGTTTGTGCTGTGGTCAAGTAGCGTTTTATAATTGCGATTGCTGCTGTCAGCGCACTATATTTATTGAGGATGAGGTAAACAATGAATGCTCGTCAAATTGGGGTACTGTTGCAGACTTTACGCTGTTGAAGAAACACTGCGTGCTCCTATGTTTCACCGTCTAAATTCCTGGAAGGGACGCTCTGCGAATAGAATGTTTAGTTAAACCTTCGTGATGTTTCTGTCATGTCGTTTCACAACATACTCATTCAAACCTCATTATAACAAAAAATACATCTGCCCAAAAAATGTTTCTTTGATCCATAAATTTATTATCAGCGATTATTTGTAACACTGTACCTATGGTAGTTACTGGTCATTTGTTATAACTGATAGGTTGTTATACAGTAAAAGCTCGTTAATTCGGATTTTACGGGACCGGAAAAACTGTCCGAATTAACCGAATGCCGAATTAACGAATGAACAGGGAAAACATTTAAAATCAAGCTGCAGAAGCATACCTTTATTTGTTGAAGTATTTTGTAATTGTCGTCTGCGTTTTCGCGCAGATTCTGTCTGACATCACAATTTTTCTTAACTGTTCTAAATGGCCAACAGCACGCAAGCTGTCGGGAGTGTTCCGGCAAGCGTCCTCTAATATTACCGTAATTACTCGAATTTAACGCGCACCTTTTTTCCGGTTAAGCGAGTTCATAAGTCGCATGCGCGTTAGAATCGAGTACGAACAAAAAAATTACGGTCAATCTATTGCCATCAGCAAATCCAAAATGGCCGCCCCCTACGTGCGTCGGCATGGCGTGTCGGCCATTTCTGCCTATGTGTTTCCCATGTGCGGCACTTTGTACGTGTGCTGAGGAGTTCGTCATCTAGTAGTGCATTGGCATCGACAGCGCGGAAGGGCCGACTCCAAAAACTCGAGTGCACCACGATGCTGCTTTTAAAAGAAAAGTCATCGCGTGTGCAGAAACGGACGGAAATCGGGCCGCATCGCGGTCGTTCGGAGTTCCCGAAGCGTGCGTGCGGGACCGGCGGAAACAAAAGCAGAAGATTGTCGACTGCAAAGCTTCACGCAAAGGCTTCAGTGGACCACAGCAAGGTCGGTTTCCGCAAATAAAGAGCTGCTCGGCGAGTACGTGCTTGAGCAGCGAGCGGCACAGCGGCCCGTGATGACAGAACTGCTCCAAGTGCGGGCTATGCAATTAGTCTTAGAAAAAGGTCTAATGCGGAGCCAGTTTAAAGCGAGCAGGTGCTGGCTAACTAGCTTTATGAAGAGGAAAGGCTTTTCCCTCCGTAGGGGAACATGCATATGCGAAAAGTTTTGCAGTGGAGTACGATGAAAAGCTTCACAGTTTTCAGAGGTTCGTCCTCAACTTGCGGCGCAACAACGGCTACCTGCTTGGGCAAATCGGGAATGCTGGTCAGACGCATCTTTACTTCGACATGCCTGGCACCACAACCGTCGAGAAGAAGGGGGCGAAGCAAGTTCGCGTGCTGATATTGGTCCACGGTAAAACTACAGGGACGGCAATGCTCTGTTACACGTCAGATGGGCACAAGCTTCGCCCGTACCTCATATTTAAATGGAAGATGCTCCCGAAAGGAGTCGTTTTTTCGAGTGGTGTGATCGTGCGGGCCAGCGAGAAAAATGGGTGCGCGTTGCAATCGATGTCTTAATTTTTTTTTCGCGGTGGAAATCTGGTGCGCGTTACAATCGAGGGCGCGGTAGAATAGAGTAAATACGGTAACAGCGCCTCCGAGACTTCCCGTGAGGTGCGATGAGGTCGCGGCTGTATCTCCTCGCATGATTCTTCGTCGGAATCGTGGTCTTCATAGGCGCCCGTGACATCATTAATAATCTCTTGATCGGTCAGGAGACCACTCGTGGCGACATCATGATCAATCGCGATGTAGTCCTGAAAGGTCACATCTGTGGGAAGGACAGCATCGAAAGTCGGGCAGTCATCGTCGGTGGACTCGTAGTTCTGCCGCTTTTCCGGCGTTGCCATCACTGTAGCGCACGATGGTGGTGGCATGCAAATACGGTCACAATGGAAGAAAAAAGAGAACTCCGCAAGAAGAGATGGTTCCAACACGACAACACAAGGGAAAATGGCGTCGGAGGCGCTGAGTGGAGAAGAAAGGAGACGCCGACGTTCGGTGACGCTGCGATCGCCCCCACTAGTTGATGATGATGGCGATGTCACTCGGGTTCCGGTTTCACTCCAGTGGTGCCAGCGCTGCTTTATCACACTTTTGTGTAGCAGCAGCCGTCAGCATTTGTCCGAATTAAGCAGTGCGGAGCCAAATTCCGACGAAATAACGAAGGTTTGGTCCCATAGATTAACATGCACTTTGGCCGGGACCAATAGAGCCGTCCGAATTTCCGAATCAACGGGTGTCGAATTAACGAGCTTTTACTGTATTGGAATTCATCATATCGTGTTTCGAGTGTGTTAGCAATGCGTGGGAAATCTGTGAAAATGGGGCCGCCACAGCCGATTTGTCGCTGGATGGAATCTCGGCTGTGGCGGCTCCATTTTCTATTTGAAGCAGAAATTTTGGGGCCCGTGTGCTTAGATTTACGAGAACGTTTAAAAGAACCTCAGGTGGTCGAAATTTCCAGAGCTCTTCATTCTGCCGTCTCGTAATAATATTGTGGTTTTAAGTAGTTAAACCGCAGATAATGTTATTTTGAGAGGTTCACTCAACACCGAGCACGCCTTTTTCTGTAGGTGCAATCCTGTTATCTCGATAGCACTCTAAAGAGGGAAGATAAGATCTCAGATAGCTGCAGCCCATTGTTTGAAAGGCAAGCTACAAAAGTAAACGAGCATAGCAGTTTATTCGTACAGAAAGCTCAGTTGTTACTTTCTGTCAACCTTGATATAATGAACCCAGATGTAATTAAAGATCGGTTATAACGAAGTACATTAAAAGTAGTCTTGCAACAGATAGTGTTGGATTATACTTTTATGATAAATTTCCGCATTTAACGAACCTGTTTGTGAGGTTTCAGTGAAGGAAAGCTGGAACGAACTTTACATGAAAATGAAACTCTGCCGAGTAGGAAGATATTTTTGCTGTGTTTGAAGCATTTGTCAGTCTGTGTCGCTGAATTGCGATGAACGTTTTGGATGCCTCTTGCTGTACGAGTCTGAACTTTCCCCTTCTGACGTCCAAGAAACAATAAACTGAGTCACTTGGAACACTGTATTATGGCACTGGGTGCTCTGAGTTCAGTATATGCAATGTTCTGGTATTTATGAAGGAGTTATGTTACATGAGTATGTTTGCAAACTACATGTTCCTGGTAAAAGTAACTCTCTCCACTCAATTATTGCTTACATTTGACCTTGTCGCCCAGGGCTAGTTTAAATGAAAATTTATTCGCTGTTGCAGTCTCAAAGGTCTGTGCATAGTGTTGCGTCAAAAAAGATATTTTGACCCCCAAGTGGGCTTACATGTTCTTTCTACATTATGGCTTGCAAGTCAAGGTTGCCTAATAATAAAACATTTGTGGATGCTGAGATGACATTTTTATGGCAGTGCCTTAATGGTGCATTCTTTCTTTATCCTTTCAGGGACAAATGATCCAGTTCTAGTTCTAATCTGCCTGTGTAAATTCCATCCCCCAGCAGCAGCACAAGCTATAAAAAAAATGGCGCCATCTTCTTTATCTGTGTTTGTGTGGTTTTTTGGCAGAACTGCAGTGCAGTCTCACTGACACTGCAGTTGTCTCGCAGGAGGTTTGGGCTTGGCATAGATTACAAACGTGACTTGTGTAATTTACATGAGTTAATTTCACTCCTGCACAAACACAAAAAAAAACTATTAGAAACATACTTCTAATATTGCATAATATTGCTTGAGGGGACAACAGACTGAAACACTGAATTCTCTGTTGTATTTAATTTCATTATACGCTTACCAGTGGAAAAGAAAATTATGTTGCCCTGTAACACTTTAACCATCTAACAGCTTTGTCAACTGAGAATCGCCTGACAAATCGACTGCTGCAAAATTTTTCAAAATTGGTTGAGTGCCAGCAATGCACTGGTACTCAATGCATGTTGCAATTGCTTTATCTTCTCTCGTCCCAACTAGCACGCTGAAAGCTAAGCAGAGAGGCAGAGCATCAGGGATAATTTAATGTGCGTGGCATTATGTGCTCTCCCCTTTTTTTTCCTTCGAATGTGCTCCTTGCTTTCAGCACGGGATTGTGGCGGGCTCTTGCGATGACCTCTGTATTTATGCAGCAGACGGTGCTGCTATAGCGGAGTTGGACAGGTTTGACGACTGAAACGCAGCGGTCGCTCCTTGCTGTGCTGGTCGCGACTTGCAAAGCTGCTTTGCCTTTTTCGCCTAGGCAGGGTTCGTAAAGGTCCTTGAAAACCTTTAAATTTGAAAAATGCATTTTCAAGGCCCTTGACAGTCCTGGAATTCGTTGCCATCCTTGAAAATCCTTGAATTTCCTGAGCAGTGCACTCATATCGACATCGCAACCTCCTAAATGTGATACATCGGTGTGTCAAACCTGTAAACTCCACATTTCTGAAGCAGTAATGGGGCGTGGGCGCACATGATCCCTTTTTTGCAAAAGTGCATGTGAAAACAAAGTGTGTGGCAAGTGTGGAGCAGTGAATGTGATAGAAAGAAATTAGAGAATGTACACGAAAAAGGGCAAGCAACCCCATACATGCAGCGTGCCGCTCCAGCACGAAGGACGCACAAAAAGAAAGCGCACAGAACGAGTGCTAATGAACGACTGTCTCAGCTCGACACTGGAAGCGTGCCGCTTAAACAAACCAAGAAGGATACAAGACCAAGAAGGAACAAACAACGAGAAGGATACCAAGAAGGAAACCAACAGGACTAGAAAAGAACACACATGTATTCACAGGATGAGTGATTAACCACTGTGACAGTTGTTTACTTCCTGGTTGTTGAGCAACAGGCTACGAGTGTCAACTGTGCACAAGCCGACACTCTTGATGGGGTGGTGCCATCGAATTTCAAGGCTACAGCAAGCACTATGGGTGCTTAAGAATATATTTTAAGTCGCTTCCCAAGTGTACCTAAATGCTCATTCTCCTAATCGATGCCCGTTGCGGGCGCGTCCAACACTAACTAAGCTCTATAAGAAGGGCAACGAAAGTTCTACCGACGTCACACCAGATCTGTAGTCAGGTGAGTGACCTCCCGACTTTCGCCCCGTACATACCGGCAGAGCATCGCGGTTGCTGCAGGTAGCCGCAAGTTTGTTTTGCAGGTGCGTGTGCGGCACATGTGTGCGAGAGCTGACAATACTCGGCATGACGTGTGCAAAGCTTTGTGATCATGTGACTGAGTCGGCTACATTGCTACGTACTTGTCCATATGAAAAAGGTGACAAATTATATAGCAAGAATAAATGAATCTTGGTGCGTGTATCATGCTTATTGAAGCTATAATTAAACCTTGCAGCAAAAAGCATGCTAGCCACAAATATTGTGGCACGACCCATTTAAGGTTTGACTACACATGTGCGTTGAAGCCCATCAGCGCGTAACTTTTCAACATGGCATCGTGCTCTCTTCCTATGGAGGTGCGGGAGAAGTCAAGACTACGCTCTCTTTTTTATATAATTGTGATATCTATATTTTTATTGTAAGTGCAATAAAATTGGTCATTTTTGAAAATTTTAGAGTGCGAAATTCCCACTTGGCATGCAGCTTTGAGTCTTTGAAAAACTTGCAACAGGTCTTGGAAAGTCCTTGAACATCCTTAAGGGGAGACGCTCCTCGAAAGCACTTTTTTTTTGTTATTCAACTTAGAGCTTCAGAAATTGGACCACTGATGCAGTTTTTCCTCCTGATTCCAAATCTGTAATCAGTTTTTACATAAGTGCAATAGTTTGGGAGTTGTGTTTCAAGTAATGGTGAAACTTGATAAGTTTTCCGGGAACTTTCGCGCATACTAAATGTTCATGCAGAGAGTTGTTCAATGGCTCCTTTTGCTCCCTATTAGCCATAGAGTGCCGATATCTAGCTAGAAATTGTGCTCCAACTTTGAAACTATGAAAAAAACATCTGTGTAGCAAACTACCCTTTTTTTTCCACTCGACCACCATTAAATTTATTAATAGATATTTACAGCTGATAGGTTGTGCTGATTCAAGTAGATATCGGCACCCTACGCACTCTCCTCAATGTGTGTGCCAAATTTCGTCGTCGTATGACCATTCTAAGTGCCCGAAACACTTCCCGCAAAAAATGCAAATTGGCCAAAATTGCGAAATGAGAAAAACGCGTTTGAAAGTTTGAAAGTCTGTATTTACAAAAATGAAAAACGCAGTAGCACGAAACTTGTGCTGAACACATACACACATGTCCAGAGGGAATATCAGTTGTCTAAAACTCTCCAGCACCGTAGGTTTTCCCTTCCCGGCTGGTGCGGCAGGACTCTTCCACCCGGGCCCTCTTGGCTGCACTGCGACGGTGTGCCCTCGCCTCAGCGGTCTGACGCACATTCATCTTGTGCATGCGCATGCTGTCTCGGCGGTCGCTGAGGGTAACCAGGGCCTCCGAAGGAAGCACCCCAAGCTCTTCCAGCACCTTTTCAAAGCTCGCGTGGCCCCGGTTGAACCACAGGACTGCAATGGCTGTGGCTGTTTCCACAGCAGTCCGGGAAGCAAACCGGGTCTTTGGACACAGCAGCCATATTTTGCTGTTCAGGGACTCGGCCGCGTTCTGTGTCTTGCCGTGGAGGCACCGGGCAAGCAGCTTCGCATCTGTGAGACGCTTGTAGATTGGGAGGACTGCCAAACCCTGGGCCTTGGTCAGGAGGGGGGTGTGGCACGGTGCAGGCTGGCCCTGCGCCTCAGCACGTCGGTGCTTGCACCACGAGTCTGGGCCTGCAGGACAGAACTTGTGACTTCCAGCACCGTCTGTTGAGCACGAGTGCAAACATGAGGCCCATATGGCAGTGTACATCTTGTGGACATTTCCCCGATTGTTCACAATGGCCACCTGAAAGTAAGTTTGAAGCTTCTGGATGGTGGTCTCCTTCAGCTTCTCCCCTCGTGGAAGTGGCGTTGGCAGCTTCCGCAGGCCGGTGCCCAGACGTTTCGCCACGTGGTTGGTGCACTCCTCTTTTTCAATTGGAGTGTCAGGGTACACGTTGGCATCACAGACCCCGTTGTAGGCCTTGCTGTCTCCATCGCTTAGGAAGATGGTGAACCGCAGGGGTGTCTCATAGTCCACAGTCCTCTGCCAAATGCGCACTGCAGCTTCGGCCTCCATGGCATGCGAAGAACAGTCGCAATTCTTCTCACAAACGGGATGATGAAACGCCTGCCATGTTTCTTCATCGCCTCCCATGTCGTTATGCAAACTGCACGCCAGGCAGAAGTTGGAAAGCACTTCATAGTCCAGGCACAAACCAGTGTCCAAGGACACTACAGTTCCCACACCATTGTGGCTTTTGTGGCCTCTTTTTTGCCATGTGCCGTCAAACATGACTGGCACGTCACTGTTACCAGCCACCTCTTTGGTGACGCTGCGTGCCCTTTGCATGTTTTCACAGACAGCCTTCACTGCCGCACTGTGAATCTTTTTGCCGATAGCATGGAAGGTCTTATGGTGCATAGGGTTTGGCAATCCAACTACTGCACAAAATCGTGAAAGTTGCTCATGCCCGATACCGACGGCACGCGCTGCAAGCACCACTTTCAGGTTCACGGCAAAGGCGTCACGCGAACTCCCGCTGTCGTAGCTTCTGCTTGCACCGCGGCCGCCATCTGACGCGACCCGCTTCGACGAGTACGCGGACGAAAGGATGCTCTCCGAGCACTCCGCATTCTCGCAGTGTAGCTCCAGAAACGCCGAAAGGCCTTTCCGCTTTTTATTCGGTGCCCGAACTGCGAGTTTACTCTCGTGACAAACGGGGCATGCCGCGCCTGCGACGACGGCCGTCAATGCACCCAACTCGCACAGCACTACGCTTTCGGCACGATCGGCATTCGGCCTGACGTCGTTTTCGAATAACGCGATCTTTTTCTGCGATGCACTCACAAAATTCACTGCAGCGTTGATCTCGTCGTCGCAGTTGCCATGGTCGACGTTGCCGTGGTCGATGTTAGGCCTACCGGCCGCTGGCCCGTCGCGGACATTTTCGTTGGCGGTGGCTTTCTTGTACGTCCTCCGCCGCTTCCCTCTGAACTTGTTCTTACTTCTGTATTTCCGATGGTCGGCAACGGCCTTTTTCGGGCTTGCCATCGCACGAAAACAGCGAAAAATAACTCCGGAAAACAGTGAAGCGAACTACGGCAAGAAAACACGGGTGCTGTCAGCCAATGGCGGCCCTGCGTTAGTGGCGCGCGGTTTGAAACGGCGGGAAAAGACTGTTTTTGTTGCTTTTTTTTTAGATTTTTCGTGAACGTACGAGACTTCAAGAACCGGGATCGTGGAGAGTAAGGACAACTCTACACGAGCCAGCGGCCGCAATATGGCGGACAGCTCTCTTCGCGGCCCCGCGAGCACGCGAACAGCAGCCCGTTTTGTGTAAATTTCGTGATGCCGCGCGTCACTGCCGCTCACTCAGACGCGTTTTTCACTGACTTCTGATGCTTATTTCGCTGTGATATTTTCAGATGTCAAAATATAATGTATAAAGATGATAAAGCAACAAAAAACAGAAAAGGTGAAATTTGGAAAAAAAACGCGACTTTTCGACCCGCGTCTCCCCTTAAACTTTCACTGTGGAAACCTGTAGAAACCCTGCAAGGGCTACCCGATCTCACCTTGTGTACACTGTTTGAAACAGCCTTACTTCCAGTTGCCGCGACTCCGTCAACTCTATGCGTGTTGGCTAACCGCTGTTGCCGTGCTCTTGCGAATCGTGCCGGTATGGACCTTGTGTTGCATGCACACCTTTAAAGGATCGCCAACACGATCGATTTGTATGTTGACATGCCATGCCAGAGCAGCTCTGCGCGGGATGATGGAGCCGCCGCGTGTGCAGTATGATGGAGCGCAGACAGCTGCTTGCAGACTAACCGGACGTAGGTTTTTTGCCCGACCAATCTCGGCGTGACTGGTGCTCTGCATAACAGATTGAACTTCGCGGTGTCGCGCGGAGGCCAGAAGAAACCTGAAAGGAAGAGTGATTGTTTCTTAAAACTTGTGGCGCATCCGTGGTTCGCAGAGCTGTCACATGTGGCATCTTTGATTGCGGCTGCATTCTGCACATGATGGGCACGTTTCCTTGAAATGCGTGAAAAATTGTTGGAGGTGTTTCTGGGCCTTTTTGGGCTGAACTTGAGAAAAAGGTACACCAGCTGTCTCAAACTTTTCTTGGCCAGCTAGCTGCAGCCACAAGGGCCTGGGGGGGTGTGGCTTGTAGAAGTTTCCAGCACATGTTACCGTTTGAAGAAAGTCTCCCATATTTCATTTACTGGTCATTTCTAAAGATTTGGCCCACCAGATTCTAACATGTCGATACCATTTGCCAAAATGACTAGAATCTTGATGCTGGTTCTGATGTAGTTCTTGTTCCACATGTATATTTCATCACATCGTGACGACATGAGGTACTCGTAGGCAGTGTTTCAGAACCTTGTTGCACAGGTTGATAGACGATGCTACCAGGATAACAGGTGCGGTGCTCGATTTATTGTGTATACTAGTGCAATGCTTAACTGGAAACCATAGCTTGGCAAAGCTTACGTTTTGCTCTCTGGACTCGCTCGGACTTGTGAAAGTTTTTTTCAGCTGAACTCGCTCGTACTCACACTTAACAGCAAAATTATACTCCGACTCGTGAGTTGATCAGAGTCCGAGTGAGTGGACAAGTCCATAAGCCGAGAAATAAATGCTTTCTCGACCAAGGACGTCGTGCTCTTTACCACCCAATATGTCTTGTAATCTGTGTTCTTGTTGGCGCCATTCGATACAATACCTTTCAGAACAAGTTCTCACGAACCAGTTTGGAATACGTGCGAATTGATGTGAGTGTAAACGTTAATCGAGGTAAGGCTGATAGTAATGGTGAAGATGAGTAGATAGGATCATAGATCAGAAAAAGAATGTGGAACTCGTTAAGACTGTCTCAAAAAGTCTATCTGGGCTTTGGACTAATTTGGACTCGCACACAAAAATTTTCCTAAGCTTAACTCGCTCGGACTTGCCCTCGTGAAAATATCGTGCAAATAGGCTCGCTCTGACTTCAAAATATCCGAACTCTCTCAGATTCATGGGTTGGTCGGAGCGAGTACTGATAAACGAGTTCGCCGACCTATGCTGGAAACTTTACCAAGTTTTCTACCGCTGGACTCTTTAAGAAAGTTCATTCAAAACAAAGCAGCTCAGCTTTAGTGGTTCCAAGCATGAACAAAGTGCGAAGCTAGGCAAGTTTTTTTTAATATGATAGCATCAAAAAGCTTGTTAGGCAGTAATTTTGGTGTGTGTGTGGGCGTCCTTGGTTGTGAGCGAATTGTCCTGTGCGACGAACCCAGGCAGTTAATGTATTATGTGGTACAAGCGTGCATTGCCATTTGGTGCCAGAGCATCTGGTCATCGTGACGTCGTGGTTTAGCGCCGGCTACTTATTACAGACGGCGCACGCGTCGCTGTGCATATGCCTACAAGGCCATGTAGTGGGTGCATAGCAAGTTTGAAAACATTTCAGTGTTTTTGAAGCATGCTACCCATTATGCAGAATGCACCTATATGCGAAAGCTTCATTGACACAAGCCAGTTTGAACTTGATTAAACTGTGCTTATCGGCAATTTAAACTTCTCGAGTGAGTGGATGTGACACCTGATCGTAGGTACATGTGTTCAAGTCCCACCTTGCTAAGAAATTTTCGTTCAGAATTTAAGTTTTTCCTTCACGCCATTGATGCTACGCTGCTCAGTCTGTACTTATGTTGGTTGGTTGGTTGACCCTTATCAAACTGGCATGACCCACTATGGGGGATTGGGCAAGAAAGGGGTGGTGCCTTGTTATATGCATGAATTTGTGTATAATCTCAATGTTTAGCAATAGATATTTTAATTCTTGCAGGAAAAGACTAATAATGTTGCAGAATAAGCTTGATTTAGATAACCTTAGCATTCGATTTGTCTCGCGTAGGTAATCGCATCTAGCATGGTTCGCGTCGCTAAGCAATGCTCAACTTTGGCTGAATACTTTGCTGAACAGTTGCTGAATATATTTAAAGACTGACCCTTGTGTTGGCTTCCCCCATGGTTCTCGAGTAGGTTGGCATTGCTGTTGTGAGCTGTGAGAATTTGGAAGCTCTTTTTTAATTTTCAAAATACCTGACCAGGTGGTTGCAAGTTAGAAATCGATTAAATGTGTGTGCGGTTGAGGTGCTTCCAAGAATTTACGCTTGGGAAACGAAATGCACAGGTGTGCTTTCCAAAGCAAGCACAGTGCGCTGCCAAACACCAGCGTTACGGTCCAAAGACGCCGAGTGACTGCTGTTCTATTTATGAGACGATTCTACGCTTGAAAGTACCCACCTTTTCCCTAATTACCTACAAGGGAATGAAGTGTTTATTACTACTACTAAGTGCTTTTGCTAGGTGAGCTTGGGGGCACATTTGACTGTAGGCACTGTGTAGCTGTTAAAACTGAATGACCTAGAGAAGTAAATTAAGTAACGATGCCTCAAACGGCCAACCCCATCCGTAGCGCCCACCAATATTGCTCAAGGTTTAGCCTTCATAGTTGCGCGATTGTCAATTAAAAAGCAATGATTGCACGTGTATCAGGCACCACAACAATGCTTCAATATTTTCTATGTCTGCCTTTATACTAGAAGAGGCACACACAAGTAACTCTAAGAAAAGTAGAGTTTATCGCGCTGCGCTGAAAATACAACGCGATGCTCAAAAAAATGTTTCCAACGCTTTGCTGCGACGTCACGGTGGTGGCACCTGCCTGTCGCTTTGCGTTCTACACCTTATCACCTTCGTGACTGGCGCGCATCTTTCTCCGCGGTCACGCATGCCTTCGTTTTTTAAGATCACTGCTAGATGGTGCTAGTGTTTAACGTGCCTAGATGGGCTTGTTTGCCTTTGTTACACGCTCGAGGCACTCTAACGCAGCGCCTTCAGAATACCATTCACCGATTTCTTTGCGCAGAACATCAAATAAAACTATCGTCTTTTGACGACAATTACAGTGTAACATGTAGATTCGGGCCAATTTTTTTGTTAGATGCACTATCAGTGAGAACTAATGGACAATGAAATTAAGAGATGTATAAAGGATGTTATTTGAAGTAATTGAAATTGAATGCTTGAATGCAAAGAAAAAAAAGCAGACGAAAAGATAACTTTTCATGGGCAGGACCTAAACCTGCGACCTTCGAAGAGCATCTAATGCATTATTTGAAGTCACGGGTTTGGATCCTGGCATTGGCAAGCTATCTTTTTGGCCAGTTCTATTTCTTGACAGTTACGCATGTACTTCTAGTTACATTCTCTATGTTTCTCTTTGCATCATTGTCTTAAAATTGAGTGACTCTACGCATACCTTGCTTTGTAACTGAATTACGGTGCACGCTGCATAAGAGCTTGCTGAGCGTTTTCTGAAGTAGAATCTGACAAACTGCACATGACAACTATCCTCGTAGGACAAACAACTCTCTGGCAGAGCTCTCATTAATCTTGTGACTAGGCATTTCGAACGAAGATGACCTCGAAGTACATTACTTAACAGGATACTCGCTATTGCAAACAAAAATAAGCAGCACATCATGCAGGTACATATGTAAAAGGTGTGTCGCAATGTTTGCGCACAAGCATAGAAAGGCTTCAATCATGTTTTTGTCATCTTTAATAAAAGGTTCCTCTGCGCGATGCAGAAGCGGGCAATAAGGCACACGCTTCTGGCTGTTGTGTCCTCGAAAAAATAGGAGAGAATAAAAACGTAAAAAGAACTGAAAGACGCTTGTACTTTGGTGTTGACTAGACTCCGGCGGGGGGTAGAGCCAATCTTCGAAAGAGGGGTCTGAAAGATTGAAAAAGACAGAACAAATTTTGATGCAGTTTGTGCATAATGCGAATCACTGCGTGAACTCATCAGTTGCTGATGCTAAACATCCCATGTTAATAAAACACTCCTTATTGTTGAAATGGGAGTGGTAATTAGGACAGTTTAAATCATTCTAACCTGTATTAATAGTTTACATATTGGTATTCTGGGCAATAAGCTTTCTGTTCAAATCTGAATGAAAATGTTTCAATGTTTAGATATATTTCTGAATTTTTTGATGTAGTTTTTATTGCTGTCAAACTACAGGAAAGTTGCTAATTAATTTTGTGGGGTAATGTTTCGCAAGGTTGCGTTACCCGAGAGACCATAGGGCTGTCACTTACTGGCTAATGAACTTTATGTAGTCGGCACAGTTTTACATTCTAATCCTTTAGTTTAGAAATAAATTTGCTATTATCGCATTTTGAAACATTCTGAAAAGGAGAAGACATCAGAATTACTTTTTGGAAAGCCCTATATACTCGTTCACATTAAAAGAGTGTTTAACAAATTTTTGCACACTTTAAAAAGTGCTCTCCTCTGTCATTTCTTGCTCAGTGACTGTCAGTCCATAGACTCAGGTGTACCCGCCCAGTTTGAAAAAAAGAAAAAAAAAAAAAAGAAAAAGTTGCATTCTCGCAAAGGCCTGCAGCATCCTAGTCTGTTATAAAGCTGAGGGCAAAGACCCAGTGCTGAAGCGCAGAGCTTATGCGTAATATTTGCTTTTCAACTGCAGTGAGAGCTGTGTTGCTCCATGCCAGTGGCCGGACACATGCGGTAAGAAAAGTTGGGACCTTTAGAGCTTGTCTTATCTCCGAACAGTAATCATCGTTTATCGTATCTTGTGTGCTTTTCTTTTTAAATCTGCGTGCCCCCTACTTCCAGGTCGTGATTTGCATGAGCGTTATCAGCGTGACGTGGTATTTTTGGCAGGAAAGTGCAAAATTTTCCACGGAACATGCGAGCAGGACTGATTGTGGTTATAGGTGTATGATTTAAGGGTGCAGGGGGCCTTATGCAGACCTTGTACTGCAAGTTTCAAATGCAAAAGAAAAATAAAGGCAGCTGAAAGAAGTATTCTAACTAGATGCTTTGAATGTTACACTTATATTAGCCATACATACATTAGCCATGGCTCCAGTTCCCACACTCGGTGATCTGATCATTTGCTTGATAATCCATGCATGCTCGTGTGAACTCTGATATTGTGTGTTAGTCGCACAATATAAACTTCCGATGACAGTGCATTAAGCTAATTTGCTGTTGGGCCAATGACCGGCACACCTTGAGTGCTACACCCAGATGAACCTCGATACCACAAACACGCAACTAATCATAAGATGTAACAAAGTAGTTAAATAAAAAATTGGAGACCCTAAGCTTTTAATTAGCTGTATTCCTTGGGTTGACTTTGTGTTGAGCATGCTGCCAAAGCGGATTTAGGTGCCTATTAGAAAGAAGCGCGTGGTTAAGATCGGCCCTGTCAGGTGCTGCTCGAAAAAAAAAAAAAAAAAAAGCCTTTTTCATCAACCTCGTTTAACTAATTCTGTATATTTGAACATTTATCTCAACAGTTAATTGGACCTTAAATAAACTTACACTTGATATATGTATCTATATAGTATGCATATGAAATTGAACAAGAAATATGGTTAGAAAGTACTTTGGCCTGGGTGAGTTGGTGCAACATCTGTAAGGTTCAACAGCACAATTGACGGAGACAAGAGGTGTGAACAAGAGCATGTCACATCGCAGAACAGAGGCTGTGTGCATGGGTTTTTTGTTGACGGACTTTGACAAGATGCACAAAAAGTGATGGCATAATGCAAGTTAGCACTAGTGCTGCGTGCATGGGTCTTTTGTTGACAGATGAAAACAAGGGACGCATGAACAGTGACATTAACATGATACGTCAGCACAGGGGCTGTGTGCATGGGTCTTTTTTTGACAAGAACAAGAGAAGCCTGAACAGTGACAGCATGTCAGCACAGGGGCTGTGTGCATGGGCCTTTGTAGGCGAACGAAGACAAGAGAAGCATGAACAGTGACAACAACATGATATATGTCAGCACAGCGGCTGTGTGCATGCATCTTTTGTTGACAGACTAAGAAAAAAGAAGCATGAACAGTGACATCGACATGAAACATGTCAATGGTGTTGTGTCTATGGGTCTTTCATCAATGAACGAAAACAAGAAACGCATGACGAAAGACAACAACATGACACATATCAGCACTGGTGCTCTGTGCATAGCTTTTTCGTCAATAAAAGAAGACAAGAGATGCGTGAACACTGACAACATGACACATGTTAGCACTGGTGCTGGGTCCATGGGTTTTTTGTCGTTTGACAATGACGAGATGCGTGAACGAAAGTGACATGACACTTGTCAGCACTGGTGCTGTGTACATGAGTCTTATATCGACGGATGAAAGCGAGAAGCATGTACAGCGACAACAACATGATGTATGTCAGCACTGGTGCTGTGCTAATGCATATTTGTTCATCGTGCTGTTGAACCTTGTGGTTGAACCAGAACCATCGATTTCATACTTCTTTAAAGACGATAGATAGTCTTTCTTGGGAACCTCCGACGCAAGACATTTAGTCTGTCTGTCTGTACATTTGTCTCTTTGTCCACCCTTAACGGCACCCTAAAAGGCACCGGAGTGACCAGCTAATACCCCAAACGGCCGACCCCATCTGCAGTGCCCACAAATATTGCTCAAGGTTCAGCGATCATACTTGTGCGATTGTCAATTAAAAAGAAATTATTGTGCATATCTGAGACACCCCAACACATCAATATTTTGTAAGTATATCTTTTACTAGACAAGGCATACATAAGCAATCCTAAGGATCGTAGCGTTTATCACGCTGCGCTGACCATGCAACGCTTGCACGAAAAGCAAGTGTTTCCAACGCTTTGCTAAGATGACATGGTGGTGGCACCTACTTGTCGCCTACCGTTCTACGCCTTATCACCTCTGAGATGGGTGTGCACGCTTCGTTTTCCAAAGTAACTGCCAGATGGCGCTCATGTCTCACGTGTGACGTGACTTGATGCGCTCGTTCGCCTCCCCTGCACACTCGAGGCACTCTAACGCAGCCTTTTCAGAGTACCATTAATCGATTTTCTTGTGCAGAACATCAAATAAACATTTTGTTCACTCTCTTCAGACGCAAGACTATCATCTTTCGACGACACTTGCAGTGTAACATGCAGATACGGGGCCAATTTTTTTTTTAGAATACATTTTCTGAAGTCAAAAAAGTGGAAGTGAGTACTGGAAGCAGAAACATCAGTGTAGCTTGGTGCTGGTGCAGCTAAATAGATGCCACTGTAGTGTGACTTGGTCCACATACCGTATATACACGTTTGCAGGTCTACCCAATTTATATTAATTTGAAATCCGAAGCTAGGAGATCGGCCCAGCATTGAAAACTAGAGACGGGAAAGCTAGCTTTTGAGTTGGGTACGACTTTGTTGCAATGATACTGGAGAAGCTACATTGCAATAAAAAGCACACACACTCATCGGAACCGAGAAAAATGAATGGCGAGAATGGCACCCACCATAGGCTCGGTTGCGCAGCCAGGATGGGCTGGCCGCGACCAAAGACGAGGAAGGCTGCGCACCCGACCAGGTTAAGGAGCGACGTCAGGTAGAAAATGAGTGACCAGCTACGTGTCGCATCCACCACGTAGCCAACCAGATACACGCCCAGGAAGCCTGTGTGTCATTGTTGGGAGCGTCTCGTGTTAGATCTCTCAACCTTTCACATATGAGTCCAGCACATTCAAACATTTAGCCCAGCCTTTTGACGAAGCTTCAGTCGTCCACAGCACAAAGTGTGAATTTCGCATACTAGGACAACTAGAGTGCATACAGATCTCATTGAATTTTTTTTGGCACAGGTGGTGTTGAAATGAAGTTCAAAACAAAAATGTTTGTAACTATAATATATGTCCATTAAACACTAGTCAGAAAATATAGCAGGAATGTTTGTAATATTAAAAGCATGGGGAGCAGTGGGAATGTTCCTGAAATAACAGTTAAGCATGCTAGTGCCACAACTTGTGGCAATGCTTACCTAATCAATAACAATAGAGAGATTGTTTCTCCTAGTCAATAACATTTTAGGATTGGCACTTTCCTGCTTTTCTTAGAAAAAGTAGGGTAGCTGTGAAATCCCAGTAGATGTCCTGTATGAGAATGGCATACATTTCTAGTGCTCTTGCATGATGCAATGTCTTCATAACCACTGGCACGGCCTGCCACGTGGAGCGGCTTTTTATGGGAGAGCGCGTGTCAGCTGTAGGGTCAGTTGTGGCCGTTGCAGCACAACGGGGTGGGGACGGCAGGGATGGGAAAACAAGTGGCGGCGGCTCCCTTGGGGCTACAGCAAATTAGCTGGTGTTTGTCCCAACAGTGACCCACTTAGTTGTTCTAATCAGTGTTTTTAAATGCGAAGCATTTCTTAGCGAATTTCGACGAAGTTGAGCGTGCGTATCTATATATCTATCTATCTATCTAGCCGCCTATGACTTTTAAGTCTCCTGGCCGTTGGGGTAATGGCATCGTTGCCAAACTTGGTATGGCATAACATGACCATATGACAAGCATATTTGACTAGTTATAACATGAAAATCATGACATGTATGTCATGACTTACATTTCATGGGCTTGCTGCTCTTGCGGTGGTTTCGTTCACATGACTTGTTGCAAAACTTGTATGGTAGGACATGATTGCATGGCGAACACAAGCAGCAGACCCCCAACATGAAAATCATGACATGCATATCATGTAACAACATGACTACATGCCACGCTCGTGATGCGCTCACGGCCCTTTCGCTAGCTTCGCATATATCAAACCTGGTATAACGGGACGTGAATGAATGATGAAGTTATGTGAGTGGTGCAAACATGATAATCATGAGATGCGTGTCATGTAACAACATGACTACATGTTAGGCTCATGATGCACTGGCTGCCGTTTCGCTAGTTTCACTTATACGAAATTTGGTATTACGAGATGTGAATGGATAACGAAGGTATGAGACTGGTGCAAACATGATAAACATTAGATGCGTGTCATGTGATAACATGACTACATGCACAGTCAAGGCGCCAATACATTTTGACGTGACGCGGTGCAGGCGCTCGCCGGCGTTTACTTTGTTGGGTCACGCCGGCGTTATTAGCCAGGCGCTGGTCCTGTCATATACTTGCAGGCAGGTGCCGCGCAGCGTTGATTTGAAGCATGCGCGTTTCAGCACGTCCGGCGTCCCTCCGTCACGAAAAAAGGGAAACGCAGTTTTGTCTGGGTAACGCATCGGCGCGAAATGCAGCAAGTCGCATTTAGCACTGATTGCCGTTGGGCTGCGCCGACGGACGCTGGTTGCGCAGGTCACACTTGGCGTCAGACTATAGAGTTCTCACGTTTTGCTAACGTACTATCGCTGTCTCCAGCGTGCGCACACGTCAACGTTATGTTGGAGTATATTGGGCCCTTCATGATGCACTTGAGGCCGTTTCACTAGCTCTAAATATACCAAATTTGGTGTTACGTGACATCAATGGATGACGAATGTATATGACTGGTGGGTTGCACGTTAAGGAAACCCGGTGATCGAAATATCAGGAACGCTCCACTACGGCGTCTCTCATAATCATTAGTGATCCTGGGACGTTAAACCCCCACATATCAATCAGGTATATCACTGGTGCAAACATGATAATCAAGAGACACGTGTCATGTAGGAACATGACAACATACCACGCTCATAGCATGCTCACGGCCGCTTCGCTAGCTCCACATATACTAACCCCCGAATGCAGAGATGTTACTTGACTCGTACTTGACTCGTTCTTGACTCAAGACAGTCTTTCCGGTCGCCATAAATCGTTCTCGAACTTGCGGATGACTTGAAGGCGACTTGGCTTGGTCGAAGTCAGGACAAGTTTCAAGTCAGCTGTGGGGCTAGCTTGAAAGCGACTTCGTGCGTTATTCCAACATGGTCACCTCTCGAATGGACGTCGCGTGAAAGGTGGCCGCTTTTGAGTTTGCTTGCCTCGCCATAAGCGTAGCATTTTTTGAGGCGCACTGCCTGCCGAAGATTCTTGGAACCGCTTTACGTGACCAAGGAAATCCGATGGAGTTTTACGATGAGCAACAATTCCACGCTAGGTACAGATTCATGAAGAACGCCATGGGGCAGCTGCTCGTTATGTTGCCGCTCCGTGAAAGTGGGGACAACCGAAGACAGCCCGTGCATTCATTGTTACAGCTACTAATGGCTCTCAGGTTTTACAGCACTGGCACATACCAACCAGTCACCGGAAATTTCGTCCGCATTCCGTAGTCGACAGTGTGCCGTGCAGTCGGGAAAGTTACGCTACTCATCGCAAAGCACCTGTATGCGATGCTGGTGCGCTTTCCGCAGCCGGCGGACTGTTATGAAGTGGCTGAGTTCCCTTGCGTTACAGGTTGTGTCGACTACACACAGGTGCGTATTAATAGCCCCGGTGTCGACAACGCCGAAGTGTTCCGTAACCGCAAAGGCTATTTCTGTTTTTCTATAACACGACATTTTCAGTCTCTTTCGGTAAAAAAAAAAATTGACTCGGTGCTGTGTTCGTGTGCCTCGTCTATCCTTTCGTCCTGTCTAGGGAGCTGTTTCTCGCTCAGAAAGGCATCGCTTGTAGCACAACGCTATGTAAAATTACACACACATAAAAAAGAGGTGCCCCTATCACGGGTTTTTTTATCCGCATTACCATCATGCAGCGATACATTGCTGCACCCCGCGAGACAGAATCCTGCTGAGGGCAATGTCCTGACCCCCGCTTTTTCTCTTGTTTCCCAAGCTCAACAAAAGGATACGAATCATATTTGTTCCCAGAACTTGTTTTTTTTTTCATAATAACTGCGACCTAGCCCATTACAGGCATGCACACAGGCGAACAGAAAGGCAAATACCGTGAAAATCGCGTCACTTCGTGAGCCAGGTCAGCACAAATACATGTCATGGCGTTCGATTGAGAAAAAAAAAAAACGACGAAAGAACCCAATGCGATGCTTGTTTCGCCTCCAAACAAGCAACCGTGGAGAAACGCGCCGCACTTGGGTGGCCACTAAAACCAGCGAGCAATGAACGCTTTACAGAAGCAACACTGCGCACAGCTGTGGCGGCAGGCACCACGTGCCGCTCGTTAGCCGTAAAATGGTAAAAGTATGCTTGTGGCCCTTCATTTTTATAGTAATTTTAAAACGTGTGGTCCTTTTTTGCTGTAACACATGCCTTACATGAACAACTTCATTATTACCCTCGTTAGCAGGCGAGCAGCGTGTGTCTGCTTTGAAGCTCGTTCTTGACTTGACCAAGCAAGACAGCCTGAGCATCTATGAAACGCGAAGGCTGACTTGGGCGTTTTGAAGTCCGCTGCTTGCTTCATGCCGACTTGCTCAAGTCAAGTTGAAGTCGCGAGCCAAGTAACATCTCTGCATTCGGGGGTAAATTTGGCATCACGTGACGTGGATATATATGACGAAGGTAAACGACTCATCCAAACATGATAATCATGACATGGAAGTCGTGTACGGTATAACTTACCTCCACCTCATAACATTGTGGTGATTTGAAAGTGGCATATCAACCTTCCTCATTCATGCAAGGTTCCATCTCGGGTAAGACAATACCAAAAATTTGCAAGGGCTGCAGGTATCTAAAAGTAAGGTCAGTAAGTACCTGGTGCGCACACGCCAGATGGATATTAAAAGAAGACTTTGCGGGTCACGCAAAGATCCACACGCTCAATTGTAACTACTGCAAGCGCGCCGGGCATGCGGTTCTATGGGCGCTCGCGAAAACTCCCCCCCAGGTGGCGCCGCAGCGGTGGTTCGAGAACTAGAAGTGTCACGCCAGTTTTGAGCATGTGACTGGCCGTGCCCGTGTGCTCTTTCACCTAGCGGCCGTGCCACTGGTACCTCTAATGTTTACGTACTCTAATGCGTTTCAGTCTATCAATGCCATATGAAGGGTTTACAAGAAAAAAAAAAAAGATAGGGAAAGATATTGACACAATGTACACACCTGGTATGGCTCCTATTGTGTTCATCAGGCCTGCATCAATTAGGAAGAGGAAAACATGTCGAAGGGTTAGTTGTTTCATAATTGTCTTGAGAAATTACTCTGAGAATAGTGAAAGGGACACCACTACAGAATATGGAAAAACAATTGTGACTGTTTCAAGTAACCGTTAATAATTAAAAAAAAAAAATAATGGAGCGCTAAAGCTTTTTTGACAGCAAGGCGGCTGATGTACATGTACGCGAAGTCTTAAGACCTTGTGCTTAGATATAGATAGATGCACGTTAAAGAACCAGATGTGGTCAAAATTTCTGGAACCCTTAAGGGGCACTGCGACACTTTTTGAACAGCCCTGAACACGTGTAGCGATGATTACTGAGACAAATGCAGCAAGAATGATGGAAATTGTTGCACGGACCGTGAAGTTATGAGTCCTCAAAGTTCAAAACTCGAGCAGACGACGAGAAGAAACGTTCTCTTTCGCATTTCATTCGCCTGCTGACATCAAAGATCGCTTCCAGTCACAGCACGCGTCTCATAAAGACATTCCGGAAATGTTACCTCATGGTGGTCTTCACACAATACCTCACTACCGCTCTTTTTTAACCGCGTCGTTAGCATGGTTACTATGAACCACGGTTACTATGAACCTTAGAAGACGCTCCCACGGTCACACTGTGTAAAATACACACATACACTTTGAGCAGGGTTACTTCTCAGCTTACATGCAAGACTCGTTCTACGTCAACGCCAGCGCCCACCGCCCGTCGCATTGTTGGCCCGTTAAAAACGCGGCATGCCTCTCCATGTTTTAGTCGCTTGCTGGCGTACCATACCCTTGTTAGCAGGCTGTGTTGTGTTCATTCTTCTCAAAATACATCATTTCGAAGGAGGAATGATTTCTTTCTGAGAAAGTATAAAAAAGGTTTTTGGTGTTTTTCGCATTCACTTGTATGGCCTAGCTACCACCAAATAAATATTGCACGTTATTTTTCGCGTCCAGCCAATCAAAAGCCAACGGTGTTTGTCATCACGTCCCATGACATTACGTCGCTTCCCATAACAAATATAGCCTATGTGTGTCGCCACAGTCTGAAACCAAGGTAGTTTGTCCAGTGAATTAAAATTAAAACAGCATCGATTTCAGCGTTGTTATTTGCGCAACGATATCGATGCGTTCCAGAGCATCTGAAGAACCAATGAAAAATACATGCTCAAATAGTGTCCCAGGGCCTCTCTAACTACAATGTCTTTCATAATTGTATCCTTGCTTTCGGATGTAAAACCCCATCAGTTATGATACTGCTACATAGCTGACATATTAACAATCAAATATTTTGTGCACAGAAGATGGCACAAAAGAAAGCTGGTCTGTCTGCTGTGCATGCTGTCTGCCATCTTTGTCAATGCTATATGCATCAGCGTAATTGCAGCTTGTAAATAGCCACACTTTACGTCATTTTTACGCAACATATTTATGGTGGAGGTGCTGGGTACTTCCCTGTATTCACCACAAAGCTCCACAAGGGCCGTATCATCGACAGTCGGACCATGTCACAGGTTGATGAAACATCGTCTTCACCAACCCCCCCCCCCCCATGACTTCTACCTACGTTGTCTGCCTCCTGCTCGTGATCCTAGTATATTTTCCGGTCAGCATGACGTTGAGGTTGACAAATAGATCAACCATTATGAACAGATCAGTGCCATCTATAAGTGAGATCCGACACTTAAGGTGGCAAACGTGGTTATCTGTGCGTGTGGCCCACTGTGCGTGTGGTTCGAGACGCTTGAAGTGGAGATTACAAGCTGGGACTCTTTTAAAGAGAAGATACGCGACCTGTTTAACGACACCATTAGACGGGAGATGGCTGGGCAGAATCAATTAGAAGCTTGTGCTCAGACGTCTACAGAGTCGTACGTCGTGTCCATTCACAAGTCATCGCTCATGCGGCCAGATTTACGAGCACATATGCAAGTCTATAAGGTATCCCATGTGCTCACAGGCATAGCAGATGATGCCTTTAATCTGCTCATTTATAACAACATTGCCCTTGTTGATACAATCATTAAAGAGTGCTGGCAGTTAGAAGTAGCCAAGAGCCATTGTATTACTCAGCGATTCACACGGATACTTAACACAGCTGCAACATCATCGTGTGAAGCCACCCGCCTCCATCTGCCCACGTATGACAACCTCACATGCATTGTTTGAAGAGAAATCAAAGCCACCTGTTCTGCTCCTATTCAGCCGTTTCTGCTTCACAACGCACGCGTCTTACCCACTACAGCCACTGGTAGCGTACATTCAAGCTGTGGTGAGTCAGGAGTTTGCAAACCTCGGCCTTCCATCAGTGTGTCCCTTGACTCATCTTGAAGTTCGGCCTTATTCCCCTGTATACGCTCGCTAGTCCCCTCCCACAATTCCTTTCTGCAACCCTTCGAAATGGTGAACACCCGACCACTAGCCGTTGTTTGATGGTGATCAGCACCACAACATTCGAGAAAGGGAAGGACAACAGAGAGCAAGCATGTGCTAGTGAACCAGAAAGAAAAACATTTTCACTGCTATTTTATCATTGGGGAACCCGGCGAGAAAAAGTCTACCGATAAGAGATATCACTCCAACAACCGCCCAACACTCGAATGCACAGTTAAAAGCTGTACATAAATATACTATAATGTATGGTTAGATTTCCCACTTTTAAGATGAAGGCCCCAGATGCCTAATTAATGAGTGTGTGTAAACGCAAGTGAAGCAAAATACCATCACATGACATCAGCATATGACATCCTGACATTGTTAACTAAAATTCATTGCATCACGATGTCACTGTGGTGCCATATAACGACGCGTGACATGGTCACATGGGCAAAGGTGGATTAATCATGGAGCAAAATAACATTAGGCGCAGAAAATTTTGAAGTCATGGGCGGTGCGAGAATTTGTTTACTGAGAAGGGGTGAGGAGGACACTCATGACAAGCGAGTTCCTTCAGGTGGCGGGGCAAAGGGGAAAGCGGGACACCCCCCTTATACCCTCCACTGGCACTGGCCTGTTTGGGGGGGGGGGGGGGGGGGCTTGGGAAGATCAATACATTGACTGAAAAAGACAGATATGGCAAAGACGATGGCTTTTGCTTTCGAGTAGTCTCAGACAAATGGATAAGGGTCGCTGCAAGTTCTTATTAAGCCACTCGTACCAAAGACGGATCCCGCGTGAAGCGGTGCGATGTCTTGCGGGTTGATGAAGACACCGCTGTTGTGGAAGCCCGAGCAGGCGACGGCCAGCGAGACACACAGCAGCGCCCAGGTGTAGCTGCACCACGGCACCAAGGGCAGCAGCAGCGCCTTGCTCAGCTGACACAGGGCCTGAGCACAAAGATAGCATATTTTATACAGGCTGTACACTCATACTTCATTATAATGAAATTGCATCTTACACAAAAATGGGTTCGTTATACACAGAAATTTTTGTAAGAGTATATTCCCAACACTGTATCTCTTGCAAGACTGTTCTCCATTTACTTCGTTATAAGCAATATTTCATTATATCTAAGTTCATTGTATCGAGGTTTGAGTGCAGTTGCTCTGCGAACACCAAGTTGCACTGTAGTTTTACCTAATCCAGCTCCCAAGAAAATGCGATTAAAATTATATGATGTACAAACTACGAACTGTTTGTATTGCTAAAGGGGTCATGGTAGCCCATTTTTGATTACAATTTGTGTCATGCAGGTTAATCCTTAAGCATTAATAGAGAAGTTAGCAAAATTTTAGGCGACATGTCCCACAATGATTGGCTCTGAAAATGGCCCCAAAATACTGTCTGATCCATTTCTTGTTTCATTCAATTCTATGCACTGCTTCCTACACCATGAAAACGCAGCAATTTTGAAAAGTTCTCGGCTGATATTGCACACCAAGAATGACACGCAATATGAAGAAAGTATCGGATAATGCCGGAACTAAAATCAATTTGATAACTTGCATTTGATTATGCCAAAGGAAACACCTTTGCTTTGATAAAAAAAAAATTATCGAACTGCAAATGCAATCTAAGGATTGTGATAACGAAGAAATAAAAAAAAAAACGTCGCAGACTGCATTTTGCAATTTAAAACATCTAGATCTCATCTTTCATGTTTTAGAAAACAATATCCAGGTTGCTTAGAGAGCTCTGACAGGTGGATATTGAAATGTGATACGAGGTACATCCAATATTGAATCAAAGTAGCCTTACTTCAGACAGCTTGCGCACCTTGGTAATGGGCTGCCCTGAAAGAGAAAGACAAGAATTTGCAGTAAAATTTAATCTCCAGAACTGACATACTATGCAGAGCGTGCCAAAAGAGTGAGGTGGGGCCATGCGTAGTAGAAACCCATGTGCTATATTACAGCATTAGTATAAGGTTGACTCACTGACCGGAGTCAACAGTTGCTTAACCGTAGCAAAACAGCCAACAGTAGACGAACACAGGCCAGAACTAGTCAAAAAAGGAAGTGGTATTATGTTAGTAGATATGAAATGTTGCAGGATACACACAACTACACAATTTTTTTGAAAACGAAAAAAAAAATTTCTATTGTAAGAGCTGTGGCTCATTCCCGCTTTGGGTGTGAGGAAAAGAGAACAGCCTTGTTGGTCCAGTTCTGGGCAGATGTGAACTCCTCGCTGTCGGTCTTGCTTTGGCCACGATACTGAATTGTCCTGAATAATTTTATACTGGCAGTTAACTTGTACATCTGACTTTAAGTCAGAATGAAATTTTTTAACATCTTTAGACTGGAAACTGATTCCTTTAATTCTTGACCATAAGCTGTTTATCTAGTTTGAATAGAAAGACTCAAATTAGAAAAAAAAAAAAAACAGTTTCACCAGAGGACAGAACGACGAATGCGACAGCAACAACAGTTGCTAGCTAACAAAAGTTAGCTAGCAACTAACTCTTCAAAATAACGCTGTTTTAAAGAAATACGGCTGCTCCAGGAACCGAAGCCGCTTTAGTGCTGTAATTTCTCTAGAGGGGAAGTTAGCTGTGAGAGCACAGCAAATTGACTGAGTCGTCCCTTGATATCTGTTGAGATGGCGCACGCAATCGCGCCCTTGTGAGCAAAGTTCACGCGAACAAAGTTTGAGCACAGTGCCCTTGTTGTGTCCTCTCATCTGCCCTTGTTCATTTTGCGCTTTGCAAACATAAGTATGTTCATGCAAAGTTCGTGGTTATGGCACCCCCCCCCCCCTCCTTTGGCACACCTTTATGTTTCTTATGAAAGACGGCTGCAGCACTTCCTTTCTTCTTGATGAGCAATCGACGACAGGCCCCGCATGTGGGGTGCTGTGATCGCATGCACACTCTGTGCGACGAATGTGGCTTACTTATTCTATGGTGCTTCAGTTACATTCATTTCCAGCACTTGGAAACTTCTACATAAGGGTAGAACGTGCGTACTTATGAACATATGGATGGCAGTTATTTGCGTCTCTTGATTTCTTGCCTTTGTTTTCTTGTGCACTGCTTTTATTCAGAAAATGAATTCCAGAAACATTAGCAAAATATTCGATATCGTAGAACCCCGCTGGTATGTTTTTAATAGAACCATAAAAAGATGTAAGAGCTGGGAAACTCGAGAGCCGAAAAACAGTAAAAAAATGAGAAGTTATAGTAATGATGAGGAAGCACACAATTTTATTATAAAACCTTTTGCTTTGAGAAATCGTGCAGCATCGCCTGGTGCATTTTCTCACATCCTGATTAGTGCAAAGCGTCTCTCAAGCACCTTCAGTGCCATGTAGCTTTTGGTGGTGTCACTTTGCGCAAATATACGTAAATAATCCAGCTCTGTTACAGCCAATGAAGTCATTCGCTCCAACAACTGCCCAGGCACCTGCTCCCCTCCTCAACTTCGTCATCACTGACCCGCACATAGTTATATACTTGGCCACAATATCATAGAGGACGAAAATTGCGGAGGTCCACAGCAGTGTCATCAGCAGAAAGAACTTTCAGCACACAAGCACGCCATAGACGTCCATGTTTACAAGAAAAATATCGATTTCAGAGGTCGTGTTTCTTGGAAGGAAGTTAAAATACATCACAGATGTCCCCCTCACCATTTCGGGTGGCTAATTTTGTCAAGTCATTAAGAGGACCAAGCCAAGCCACCTGAAAAGTCAACATTGGCTGCCTGGGCAGCCTTGGAAGGCTGGTTCGCCCCAGACACCTGCCCCAGGTACCTGACGAGGGGGGGAGGTTGCATGGGCTGCCTTGGAAGGCCGGTTTACAACGTACAATGCGGGGAATAGCCCCACATGTGTGACGTAACAGTGGGGTTTCCAACGCACTGGAATCTATGGGGGCTGTGCTTGGGCCTGCCAAAAACGACTTAACACCCAGTAAAACTCGGCACCCGGCCACATAACAATGGGGTGCCACTGTATCAGATTTAGTATGCTTTTGCACCCACAGCCTCCCCTAGCAAGGACACAACTGTCACATTGACAAATTCAGTTATATTTAGACCAATTTGGTTAGCACACCTTTGCGAATAAGGTGGTCCGAGACGGTGCCACCACCAATGCTGCAACGGGTATCATGATCCAGGGGACCATGTTGAACACCCACATCTGCAACAGAGCGACAGCCGCACAGACCCGTTTACAAAACACAGGTGCTACAGACAGCATGTTCAATTAAAATTTTGTTAGTATACGTTAAGAGGGGTTAAGATGACTGGTTAATTAGATGCATATGCCAAAATGTGAAATGAAACCATGCTCCACCACATGCACCAACCATGCGCATTGCACCTCATTTTGTGACGGCTAATGCTGCTAGACAGCCGCATAATTAGAATTTTTTGTTTTATTTCTCACTCATTAATTTATAGTTGGAATTAGCAATCTTTTACATGTACATACTTAAGGAGTTTATGAAAGCTTCGCATTCAAAGGTTTTTCAAGTGCTCTGGCCATGTAGCTAAGTTAATGAAGAATGTCACAGGCGAGATAGAGCTATTTTTTGGGAAAAACTTCTTTGTTATAAGGGTACCAATGTGGTAGAATAAACCAAACCTCCACCTGTGCCCAATGCAAGTTCGAATACCAAGATGACTGCAAGTGCGCTTGCTGAAAAACTACTCCTTTGGAAAAACTACACCATTATTGTAGGTAGTGCAACACTTCGGGAAGGACAAAATGAAAGGTGCTGGCTGAATTTGGTGAAAAACTGGGTTAATTGTGTTTGCTTTCGTTGCTTTCATACAGACAGTCAAACAATCAAAAACACTTGAGAATGTCCTGCTATATTCAAGTGTGAATTGCTCGTAGTGATAATGTGTAGAATTTTAGCATGTTGAAGTCAGTCGCATCAGAAAAAAATAAGTATTCACGCCATTACAAAGGCCTGAGACAACTGAAGTAACATAGCAGAATCTCGTTGATATAATTCTGCATACAGTCGAACCCCTTTATAAGAGACACTGATATAAGAAACAAATGGGTATAAGAGACAGAAGTGTGATTATGGTAAAATAGGGGTTGATAAGAAAATGCTTACAAGGTACCGTACTTATAAGAGACATCTCATATAAAAGACAAGAATTGGTGGCCGGAGCATGCCTCTTATAAAGAGGTTTAACTGTAATATGCATTTTGGCCTAACACAATTTTATTTGTGCTTGCGACCATCCCCTTTGGTCATACGATTTTTACAAAATATGTTTTATTATCTGGTTCCCATGAAAAAAAAAAGCCTTACAGTGAGATTCCATAGTAACAATAAAAAAAACTGCGTGCAATAAAATGTCCAGCCTGCATGTAGAGAGGTACGCGATTAACCACCCACCAATGCATTGAGATCGGCAACTTGCCTTTGCGTCGGGAAAGCGTTCATGGAAGTAAGTGGGCAGCCAGGAGATGAGAATGAAGTACGAGTTGTTCTCCGTGAAATGCGCCAACAGTATCACCCTGCGCAGGTTGACATCTCGTCGGGCGTCATGTCATTGTGTGGCAACTGGGGCGATATCGCTAGCGTATGACGATTGTGCAGATTGTTTATGCAAAATCTGGCAATATGGGAATCCTGTCACAACCCATTGATTTTACTACCATGGTTTACACATAGCAGAGTGGACAACGATGCAAGTGTTTAGCCATTACACTCAAACCTCGATCTAACGAACTGAAATATAATGAATTATCAGTCATAACAACGTAAGAGAAGAATAGTTTTGTCATAGATAGTGTTACGAATACATGTTTATAACAATTTCTCAGATATTACAAAGCATTTTCTTGGCTGATGTTAGTGTTTTATTGAGGTTTGGGTAGTACACTGTGCTTCAACAGTACCAACATTGCACTGTTTCGTATTTGATGTTTGCTGCTAAAATTATGTTCCTTTGTATTTCGTTCTTTTTCCATTTCATACCTCAGTTTAGTTGCGCACCCTCAACTTTAATGCAATTGAGTGAGTCAAGATGATCCAGTAAATAAATAAAACTGCAAAGATACTAAGGTGACCACCACTTTGAGCAAGATTGAGATGACAAATATAAACGCAGTAGTACACAGTTAATGAAAGTACTCAACGGCATTAGATTATCACGAGTTACTTGCTAAGCCCATTATTTCTTACTAGAATTTCTAGACCGTGCTTTCACACTTTGGTTGTTCCCTTAAAACTACTGGAATACTGTTGAACCTTAAAATAATGTCTTATCTGATAAGAAGATACACTCAAACTTCATTATAACAAAGTTGCATTTACACAAAAATAAGATCGTTATATATGAAAATTTGCTATAAAGGTTTATTCCTAACACTAAACTTATTGCAAAACTATTTTTCATTTACTTCGTCATAACTGGTATTTTGTTATATCGGGATTTGTTATGTCAATGTTTAAGGGTAGTTCTGTGATAAGTGTTGCAGACATTTAACATTTATAATCAGATAAACATAAATTTACAAGTCTGTCACATATTGTAGAGCCAGTAATCAAGCTCCAACTTTTCTTTACACCTCCCAAACAAGCTCGCCTATTTATGTAAAAGACCACAACAACCACATTTTGCCAATATCGCAGCACTGCGCACGGCGCAGGTGCTCCACATCGAAAAACGATTCAGACACCCCTTGTTTGCACCTGTCCGATCCACCTAGTACACAAAGTGATGCAATCTTGCCCATGGGCAACATTACGCACAGCACCTACTTAACGTATTTGTTCTTTGCACTACGAAATGGTGCCTTGGCCTTGCGGCGATACAGCTTTGGTCGTTTTGGCAGTGCAGCCTGCAATTTCATTTTCTTGTGCTGCCTTCTGTCATTTTGGTAGAGCATCGGGACTACTGGGACAAGTGGTACTGCCCGAATGAAAGCCTCCGAGACGAGTTGTCTCAGTGAATATCCTCTAGGTGAATGGTGCATACCTCGCAAGTGCCTCGTACCTTCGCACCACGCTTCCTCTCCCCGCTGCTTTGTTCAGTCGTTGGTTGCGCACCAAGGACGAAATCGCTGATGTTGTGTTACGTTGCCAAAGTGGGCACGGTCATTAGAAAGGGCTATGCCTACCCCTCTCGGCTATTGAGAAGGATGGGAAGGCCTCAACAGTTGTGTATAAACCACTATAAAGTGGACAGAAAATGTAAATGTAGAGTCAGGTTTCAAGTTATGTGTGCAATTTCTGTGAGCAAGGTGTCTTCATGGTAGTACAAAAAGGGAGACTTTATGGCCGCATGCTTTTGCAAGGTTTTTTTTACCCATTGTAATAGCAAGTTATAGGTAGGAGTCAATTATATGTGGGAAAGTACACTATATATCACTATAGACAAGCACGCTTGACCGATGGGCTTCCTCTCAGAAGTCGTATGTTGGGCTGACCTGATAATGTGCGGGACAAAGCAGAGGGAAAGGCTTCATCGACAGTAGCCTCTTTGTCGAGACTGGCTATGTGATATAACATTCACACCAATTTAATTTCTTCCTCCACGGTCATCCCATCCCCTGCACTGTTTTGCTATAGTCTCTCTAGCAATCCTTATCACGAACTGTGCTTGGCCAGCCAGTTTGCCCTTACAATTATACTCTCCTACGAGCAAGTACCATACGTGACAGTTCTGTCGGCAAAAAACGGAAGCAAATGTATTAGCGCCTTGCAACCACGCACCAGAAAGAGGGGCTTCGGAAGTAGGTGAACCAGGGGACCTTGGCAGTCGTCCCAGTGGAGCTGCGGACGAGTGCTTTGCCACTGATGGGCTGCGTCCCCCCTTGCCTCTGGTGCATGAGAAAGGCCACCCCGAAGCACCAGCCAATTCCCAGCATGCCTGCACAATCAAGAAAGACAGTGATGATGATGAGTAGCTATAAAAGGGTTCGATAACCACTTTTCTAAGTAATCATCGATTGACTTCAGTATCACAGTATACTCTTCAAGAACCTATGGTCACAAAATGTCTCGAATCCATCAAGATGAGCTGAGCTGCAGGGGCTTGCTGCGCACTTCAAGTGGGCAGCAAGACTTTCTTTTTTTTTTCTTCTTTCGTTAAAAAGCACGGTGGAAGCTACAAGCCAATCTCTCAATGTTGCACCAATTATTATGCGAAAGAAATCATTAATCCTTTCTTAAAAGAAACAAAAGCACAGCTCACACAATCGTTTAATCTGATCAATGGCATGCTGTCAATTTATACATCATGTCCAACCTTGCATGACAGGGACACAAGGTCAACCTTGCATGACCTTGTGACAGGGACACAAGGTCGTGCAAGCAGTGCAAACGTGCGCAATACATCTCAGTCCAGCCCATCATTTCCAACATATGTAGATGACCATTTTGAGAAAACTGCTGTGCACGACAGAAGCAAGTTCACTTCTACCAGAGCTGTGTTTTCTCAGTTACACCCAGCAAGACAATTTTTGCAGCCAATACTGCATGTGTGTTGATGTACTGTGAATATAAGGTGGATTCACATAACTTGAAAGTTCTACAGTGAAGGCTGTTATGAGACCACAACAAGGGTCGTCCTGCACCGTAACTGTTTGCTGCCGCCGCCGGTGTCCATAAGTACTATCGGGCAGAATAGAGAAAAAAAAAAGAGAACTAAGGGAACGAAGAACCCCAAGGCCACGATACGATTCGAACCCCCGTCCCCAGTGTGCCACGCCGCTGCTTGAAACTCCATTGCAAACTGACCCTAGAGAGGCTTGACGTTGGGAAAGGAATCACGTTAATATGAGTATTAGAGCATTCTTGAACAGCCAAGGAACAATATAGCATCAAACAATGCGAATCGCATAACGAGTGGGCCGTTGAATGATCCAAACCATTACTAAAGCTTCAGGCATATTCCTTCATCATTGTAAGCTGCAGCTTCGAAACATTGCAAAAAATTTCTTGCAAATGTGTAGTGGGTACCACGCTTCTCCAAAGAAGGACAAGGATGGCACAGTGAATGTCTCCCAACTAGACAAAATTTATGATGATTTATGTCGTAGTGGGGACCCTCCAAGTGCGCTTATAGCAGTTACCCAGAGTGTTTAAAGAAGGCTTTGAAAAGCCACTCTCCTAGTTTTCGTTGTGCTGTGTGTTGCGTGCAGGCCTGGCAGTTTTTAGATGCGAAACAGCTCTTTGACTAACCGGTGTATCACTGTCCCTTCATCCCCAACGCGCTCTCCTGGCCGTAAGTGTTGGGGCGGTGCCAATAGTCACGCCTTCCGTCGCAGTGCGCGCGTGTTGACGTCACTCTCTGCCTAGCCTGTTGTTGCTCGCGGCGTGTCATCTCTCTCACTTCACTTCTCCACCGCTCGCAACGTTTGAGAGCACATTGAGCGAACAGTCTTTTTGCGATGAAATTTACAGGAAACGCAGCTCGCCTCCTGTGTCTTTACGTTTCAAACAAACGTTCACTTAAGTAAATGCTACATTGAGTTTCACATCACACCGTTCTTCCAACACCCCCGTCGACGCCCATTTCAACTAAGTGAACGCCGTGCGCACCGGTGCTACTTCGCATTCAATCAGAGTTCCCTTCGGGGAGATGGTTCATAATTTTTTTTAGTCAGCTTATCATCAGCTGACTATCTGAACACTCACACAGGTAAAAAATGAATCATAAAAAACAAAAAAAAGAGCTCAACAAATTCTTTGCTGAAAAGTGACCTCTAGTGTGACCCAGAAATAGAGGCAAGAACTCACCAGTGACCTTGAAAACAGAGGGCCAGCCATGTGATGCCATCAGGATTGATCCCAGGCTGCCAATAAGCAACAGCCTGCACAAAGACATGGTGCAAATAGCTATACTTCTTGAAACAAGCACACTTCATGTCATTATGATTATTTTCTATGCCTACTAAAAGGCAAGGACCTCGCTTGGGAAAACAATGTATACTGTATGCACTCGCCTACTGGCCGTAGGTTTTCCCCCGAAATTGCTGACTCGCGCCTCAAAGGTCCTAAATGGAGCAATTCTAATACACTGGGGAAATAACTTAAATTAACAAATGACAATTGTTGTGCAATGCCTAAATATTCAACCTGAAGTATCTTCTCTATACACATTATGTTTTGTGATGTAAATAAGACATCTTCAGTGCTTTTTTTTTATGTTTGTGCATATTGCAGTGCGAGTTCAAGTTATGCTCACAAAACTTTCCGTACCGCACGTTGATGCTATTGAGACGAGGTGGCACGGTGCTTGACTCTTTAGTAGATGGTTGAGAATAGTGTACATAAGCACCAATTATAACTATAGCCAGAAGTTTAGGGGAATTCTTCAATTACATGAAAGTTTAGGGTAATTATTCAACTACATAGCAAGGTAAAGCACAAACGAGCTCACGGTTAGTGCTTGTTCTTTCAAGTTGTTATTCCATCCGAATGGTGGCGACACCTAACTCACCCGCACGATGGTCCCGCTGCCACAACGCTGGTAAAGATGGTGCGGTCCTGCTGCCGCAGCTGGCTCACAATAATGCTCGACATAGCCGGGAAGTGGAGCCCTGCGCCAAAAGAATGCACCGCATCCAGCAGATTGCGGCCTCAGGTACGGGACTGCGCACAGAAGTCAGCCACTGGCTGGCTGTTCATAACCGACAGTTATTCCCGCGTAAAAGTTTGTACACGCAATTAAGCAAACCTGTCGACTATTCAGCATTTAGGGAAGTGACAGCTGACACTGTTGTGACCACCGTTTATCATCACATCATTTCCATCAAGCAATAAGATTAAGGACACTGACCAAAATAAGAATTAAGAACAAATGAAGTCCGTCTAGTTATCCAGACTCGACGGGCTTTTTTTGCACAGTCGACTTCGTCATTTCCATCGGTCTATTTCGTTCATGTGTTTCTTGACCCGCAAAGGGTTCATTTTCTTTACAAACTAATGGTGACATATTAGCGCAGTCATTTATGACATGAAATGCTTTAGTAACCTATGTAAAATGAAAATGAAAACATTTATACATAACTACATAGTACATCTAGCCATGTCATAAAATGGCAAAAAAAACACTCTCTAGTGACCTGTGGTGATTGAATATTATTCAAAGTTGTGGAGTGTGAAGACACCTGCTTGTGGAACGAACAGATGCGGTACACACAGCAATGTAACGAACACATAGAAATTTATCGGCAGCTCTTAAATAACGGTGAGACCACAAGCCAAATCTTACAAATAACTAACGTAAACACAGCCAATAACACACTATCCTACCAATGTAACTCACCCGAACAACATTACACACACAATGTATACTGCCAATGGGGCATCGGTGACATTAGACTAAATGTGCGAGACTAAGCTGCGAAATCGTCCCTGTAGACCTCTCACAAGAGACGACTATCCACAGTCGTGCCAAGCTTCAAAAGAGTCACTGCTGTGTATCATACGCCTGTGCAACCTTTGGCTGCAATGGCGGCGCCACTGCGGGTACAATGCCATACCTCATATGGGGTCGAGTACACCAACTATGCCATCCAGTGGCTGCGCTTGTGCCATGGGGAATAAATGAGTTTACAAAGGATTTGAGCACCCCGACAAAGAGCAGTAGAACGCCCACCATGAGGTGACCTTGTGAGAAGCCAAATGAATGTTATGATAGTGTGGGACAAGCTATCTATCATAACCCTTCAAGAGTTAATATTGCTACAGGAGTCTTGCACGGTGTCTATATTGAACATGCCTAGTTTTCATTCATTACAACCTCAAAACAATCACATCCTTTTCCATCCCTTTCTGTTACACTTCAGTAATTGTAATTTGGCTTGCTTGCACTTTCTTGATACTTTCCAACATTTTTTTGTACTTTCTGACCAAGTTCACGCTGATAGTGTGCATGACTTTAATGTACCGCAGCATTAAAGCATCAAACTAACAAAAAGCATGGATCATAGACAATCACTTAATGACAAAAATGCTCCCCAGCATGTGAAGCAACCGCCTGTCGAGTGTAGACGACTTGCCCTGGAATGCGCCGAGCAGGATGCGGTTGAGAAGCAGGGCTCCTCGGCTCCAGGCGACGCACTCGGGCGTGTACAGGGTGAGCAGGGACCAGCCAACGGCCGCACCCAGCATCACCTTGTCCCCGCCCCACACGTCGCCCAGGTAGCCGCCCAGCACCTGTGTCAGAGCATAGCCCCAGAAGAAGCAGCACAAGCACCGTGCCCTGCACGTGTAATGATGATAGCCAGGACGATGTTAGGTGAATAGAACAGACAGTTAGACCAGGGAAAAGTATAGATGATGTTAACTGTGGTGTACTAATTGTGAAGTGAATTGAGGTGGATGAAAAACCACCCTGTCCTTCGATGGCATTAGGAACCCACCCCACAACTTCTGAAATACACGTCGACCAATTAAGGAAGGCACTTTCCGGTCCCTGTAGTTGGGCAGTATAGTGTTCACCAGTGCCAGTCTGTAGCCAACCCAGCACTGCTGATTGTGGATTCAGATTCCACTGACGAAAATGGTGATGCTTTGTCTACTCTATTTCAGCTGACATCCCAAATAGTACACCACAATAGAAGACAAAGCTTTTTATGCTTCCCCTTGCTTGTCTTAAGTTAACTAATTATGTAGAGCATAAAAGAGAGCTCCTCAGAAAAAATTCCCTTTCTTTCATTTAATTGGCACTAGGGTTATACATGCCAAAATCACAATTGTCACAATCCTGGACAAGTATGCTCCAGGAAAGCATTAAAGATAATTAATACAATAGCACTTGTGATGTTTGTGTTCCACCATTTTGGAAGCAGCCATTCACTGTGTATATTTTTTTTCATCAGTATAAGCTCACCCAAGTGAGATTTGGTGGAGGTGCGGGACAATACAAGTACTATAGCATATCATCTTCCCCACTCTTTCGGGCCATTCCTCTTATTAGACAGCTTGTAACTATATGATTACGAACAAAACTAGGAGGATGAATCGGGGGACCAGCTTTTATTTGGGTGAACAGAACAACACGAAACCGACAGAAAGTTAAGCTGAGAAATGCATGAGTGGCTGGGGGGAAGGGGCGGTTAAGTTATTTATCAAGTTCGCAAGAAGATTTCGCATCCCCTACACTATTGGTGACCCACCGAGGTGGTCTTGGTCCAGCCGTACTCGGTGCTGATCTTGGTGACCGTGATGGGCATGGCCATGCGTGCCGCATACAGGTACATGCAGCCCATGAACAGCATCGACATCCACTGAAACTTCTGGCGGCTTCAAAGTGAAAGCAAAAGGAAACAGAACTCTGATTAGACATTGAATGAATAGTTGAAATCATACTGAGATTACGCTGATGTCACCACACGATGTTGGAGAGTGGACGTGAGCATCTTTGGAAGTGAACGGCAGCAAAATTATACTTTCAGCTAAATTAACCATAAGACACATGTATGTACCTCAAGCGGATTCCCACCGCGACATGTGTGTCCTCATAGAGAGCCGCTTGACCTGGTCAGATCACATTGCCAAACTCTCTGCAGACTCCTACAAGACTCTTAGATTCTTAAATAGATCTCTGAAACTCTCCCTCTCCACTGTTAGGTAGCTGCGTTCGAAAAATAATTAGATCCAAACTAGAATTTGCTTCTGCCATTCGAAGCCCCCACCAAGGTTATCTCATCAGCTTTCTAGAGGCGGTTCAAAATCGTGCAGCCCGGTTTATATCATCTCAGCTTAGTAAACATGCAAGTGTTACTCATATGAAATCGTCTTTTGAGCTAACTCCTCTAGCTGTTCGCAGAAAAACCACACAGATCAGCCTGTTTCACAGGCTATATCACAACTTTTCTCACCTGCATGACATTCTGCTCATGCCTCTGAATCGCCTCCCGTCGACTTTTGAACTCTAAAAGAGTTCAACATCTTCATGGCTCAATTCAAGCATTTAACAATTCTTTCTTGCCAACAGCCATTAAACACTGGAACCATAGTATTTCCTAAAATTAACTAAACAGGACTGGCACTGTAATTGTACAGCTACCGCAAGATTGGCGAGTAGTACACAAATATGCCTAGACTTCATGCTTGCGAGCTTCGAATGCACCTGTGACTTTGCTTAATGCTTTGTTTTAGTTTTGCCTCGAATAAAAGGATGAACCGTCAAAAACTTTGTGAGCCAATATGAATCGGTGAGCCTTATACGGTTAGGGTGGTGAAGTGCAACTGCATAACGTTTGCTGATTGTCGTTTCGTTACAAAGTAGCTAGAAGCGACCTGCAGCCAAATGGAGCCTAAAGATCAAATATTAGACAAATTTGGGTAGCACCCACCATTCCCATGAGGCTAAAACAGAATGCATTGGAGCTCCCATAGAGTTTCTCACAAAATACCAAGAGGGAAGTGTGGTGCCATTGTTTACGCGAATTTCTCAAGGGAGTGCTGGGGATGATGGTATATGTGTTGCGAAGCTTGTGCTGGCTGGTGTTCAGCGAGGCTTCAGCTCAACGGTGAATATAACTGCGCAAATAAAGCTTCTCTAAAAGAAAATTTATATTTTAGAATAAAAGCCCACTCACCTTGATGGCACAACCAAACGGTGAAATAAACAGACAACATTAAAGTGGCGGAGGGAACCCTCGCTTTGTCATCTGCCTACCAAGTTTAGTGGCCATTGGTTACTTCTTACGCTTCGTAAAATTGTACATCAACGCAGATGTTTTGAGCATTATATAAAACACGTTTCTGTGCAATGTCAGAAATACATAGCTTATCAGGTGCTCTTTTAGTAAGAAATCAATCATTTTAAAATGAAGTCAGACGTGTCTTCGAGGTATACAAATCCGATTCAAGTTCGAAGCTCACATATCCTGTCATTCCCTTGCATCCAGCAGTTCACTAGCCCCAGATTCCCCTCTAGGTAAGTTTGTGAGAAACACTTTGGCAGCTCCCGTAGACACTAGCCCCAGAGTTCCCAGTGTATTTATAGGGAGCTCTGTGATTGGAACACTCTTCCTGAATATGTTGTTCAAGAGCATGGCCTAGTCAAATGCACAAAGCTTTAACGAAGCTCCTTCTTCTAAAAGTTTTTGTTGTTTTGTATTTCCTTTTTAACATAACTTTGTTTGTGTATGTATGCATCTTGCAGCAACTGCGTGTAGTAGATCTTACACTTTCATAATTTGATTTATCTACGTTCAACTTCGTGCCATGCATGTTTGATTCACTGTTATTTTCGAACACTGCACTTGCGTAAAGAGGTAATGACGTATTCTTATGATTTCCGTTTGGCCCCCCTTCCCCCCCTCCTCAATGCATTGCCTTGTATAATGATGACGATTATAGCGATCAGCAGTATATGCATATAACATACACTGAGGATCAACACTTCATTGCTATTCAGTTTGATATGGCACCGAAGCTAAAGAGACTGTAAAAAGCAAGAATCACACCGCGGAGAAATTGACAGTTAATGCCACCAATCAAGTAAATTAATTTTCGTCATATTTTCTCGCGACGGCATATTCATACATTTCGGCTTATTTATTTTCACGTTCGCTTCGATCTGTACTTTTGATCGCAAACGAACAACCTGCCATTCCACAAGGAAAAAAAAACGCGTACAAGTCACATTATATGAAACCAAAACCGAGTAAGCGACCTAGTTTCGGTTCCGGCTAAACAACAAAAAAACGGTCAAACATGCGTTGTGCAGCGTTTACACGCTTCCAATCAGACCGTTAGCTCGTTCACACGCACGAATGACTGATACCGCACGAGATATAGTATACAGATAAAAATCTAGCGCTCACGCTCAGTGAAATTAAATAATGAACCGAAAAAAACGACTGTACGCTAAAGAATCAACACGAACCCGAGTCGCCGATTATACAACAGTCCACCGCTTTGCAGAGCCGGTTAATCTCGTGCTGTGGTTTGTTACGAAAGCGAGTCGTTACCGTAGTTTGGCGATGACTAAGCGAATACTTATGTAGTAGAAGGGAGCAACACGAGCAATTGACTGAAAGCTCGTCGTGGCTGAATAAAAAAGAGCGGCGTTTTCACATTGCCGCACAACACTCACTGCGTCCAGTAGTTGGCAGCGCCCAATTCCAAGGCGGCATAGCTGTTCTGGTATATGGCCATTTCACTACGAATCGCGATCGTGCTACCGAACTAAAAAAATGCCGACGGTACTTGACTAAAACGGAACCGATGCAATGTTCTTTCTTCTTCTTCTTCACTGGCGGCGCCATCTTAAAACGACTGGAGTGCCATCTGAGAATGAGAGCTACAGGCTGCTAGCGATGACGCAGAATAATGGTGCTTGGATCTGCATTATACTACATTGGGCGTTCTTGACATACCGCGTAGAGATGCAGCTGAGCTTACATAGCTTTCTGAAGCTAAGTTTCAAGGCGAGTCGTTGCTTATTCGATGTCAAAGCCGAATTACTTAGCATTAGGCCGGAAATTTCGCAGTGCCGAAACTTACTTGTGCTTCTACAAGATGGCGCGAGACGTAGAAGTCATTTGGCGGGAGTTTTGTGATCAGCTGATTCCCAAATAACTGCAGGCGCTCTCTGCTAAACATAGGAGTGTGCGGGACCCAGGTTGCGCGGAGTGCGCGCTGTGGGTCATGGAAGAGGACACGGTCACAACGCCGCTGGCGCCTCTAGAGCCAATTAATCTGGTGGTTATAGGCAAAGATGGGACGGGAAAGACAGGCAAGTTCTGGTGCAATGAATTCTCTGCGCATGTGCGCATGCTGGCTTGCTGTTTTGTCACGATAACATTCTTGAAAAGCCTGGACGCTTTCCACAAGGTAGGCATTGGCTGGGGGGCTTGGCCGCGCGTTTACGCAGCTGAAGGCGCATTAAATTCGGGTTTATTTTTTGTTTCCCCCTACTCTCTGGAATGTCGCAACTGTCGCCATCTTGCGGCGCATGTCTTCCGCGCCAGCCGTGCTTGCCCAGGTGAATGTTTACGCAGGTGTTATGCGGAGGAGGCTGTTTGTTTCTCGCTGTCGAAGTACGCATGTCGATAGAGACCATTGCTAAAGACCATTTTCTATAACTTTTATATGCGCTCGCGTGCGGCATAGTAAACTCGCATTGTAAATTATAATTGCATGCACTGAAGAATTCATGGTAATCACTTTAAAAAAGAAGAATTATTGTGCTTGTTGTGATGTAGACAACGCGGGAATATAGTTTCTAAAAATTAGGCGCGTCAGTAGAGCTACAAGTGTACTCTCCTTCCCCCTGCATATACTCGCGTTTTCGTTGTGATGAAAACTGTAAGGGCTATTTTGGTTAGCTTCATTACAATAAAAAATGATATGTGCACGCCAGTAAGGAAAAAAAAAAAATTGAAATCATACATCGCAGGACGCGATGAGCTTTACAAAACACTTGAATTCAAGTGCTTTGTAAAGAGCTAAATCATTAATGATTTAGCTCTTTGCATTCGAATGATTTAGCAATTGAACGATTTAGCTCGATGATTTAGCTTTACAAAACATTTGAATGAGCTTATACATTATTTGTTTTCCGCGTAATGTTTTGTACAGCTAGCGGTGTAGTTAGAAAGTGGCACAACAACCCCCCTCCTGCGATGTGATTTGGCGTGTATCACTGCTCCTCTGTGCTCAAGTTGAGTGCGTAAGACAAGAAGAGTAATCGTAAAGCTCGATTTGCGAAAAAAAAATAAACTTATTTAATAGGAAAAAAAATTTTGTGTCAGAAGTGGGATTCGAACCCACGCCCGGAAGACCGGACTGCCACCTGAACGCAGCGCCTTGGACCGCTCGGCCATCCTGACAATTTTTTTTTTCATGGTATTTATTAAAGTACTAGGGCAATAAAGACAAAATCAAGCGAACAAAAGTACTATCAAATCGCGAATGTAAGCGCTCAAGCGTTACTCATAAACACTAAATGGCTAACACAGCGTGAGTTCCTCACATGGAGAGTTCTTCACATCGTGTTATACAAACAAAAAAGGGGTGAGGTCAAACAGTTCTCTAAGACGGAGTACCAGTCCGGTCTAAAGTCTAGCTCGTCGTAAATGTTTTTTTAGGTGGATAGCCATTTGAATGAAGTGTGCGCTTGAAGAGGTGGTGGGCTCTGCATTGCGGTCTTGCATTCGTGTCTTCCACAAGCTGTGCATACCCATGAGGAAAAACATATCATATGGTACTTCATCAAGCGCTGCTGGTAGAAGAAAACGTATTGTGTGAGAATTAATGACGAAACGTTTTTTTTTTCAGTGCTCGCTGAAGGACATCGCAAAACAGTATGGCATCTTTGCAGCTAACAAAGCAATGTTCAATCGTTTCCGGCACATCACATAAACGGCAGTTAACAGACGGAATGAAAATACCCTTTCTTTCTAACCATGTGTTTACCGCCAACGTTTCAGAGTGGACTTTATAGAAGAATGTTTTTGAATTCGGTGGAATGCACATTTTGCGCACTCGCTTCAACACATCGTGGCCTGGAAGATTGGAGTACAGTGAGCGGTACAATGGAGGTGGGAAGAGTGGGTAGACTATCGAACTGTCAAACAGCTGTGGCACATACCTGCATACCAGTGGCACATACCCGCCCCCGGGTGTGGGCCACAGTTTTCCGGGGAATTTCTGACAATGTACGCCACGGTATTGTGACATTATTGATGTGATGACCAGCGAGTCGTATTCGTCAAACCATTTTACCCTCCTGTACTAATTTTGGTTCACCCCAAATTAAGGGGGTGACCATAAGAGCACCGAGACGTATGCGGCTAGATAGATAGATAGATAGATAGATAGATAGATAGATAGATAGATAGATAGATAGATAGATAGATAGATAGATAGATAGATACGCAGATAGAAGCTCAAAGTGCCTACAGAACGCAAATAAATGCTTCGCATTCGCATATAACAATAAAAGGCCAGCTTATTGTACAGCAAATGATGCAAAGGACATACAATGCATTGTACAGCGCCATTGCTTTACAGCACATGCATCACATACAGTTGTTTTGTCATGAAGCATATGGATAGCTGCTTAGTATGGTCTTGAAGCAGTGACTTCGTTGCGCATTCGGCCATTCCTTCAAACTATGAATTAGCAGCTCACTTGCAGACTTCTTAATTAGCAGACCACACCAGTGCTGACGCGATGGTATTGTCGTTACAATTCAATTCTCTAAGCATGGATTCGATTATCTCAGGGTATGCCTGAGCACATAAACGGGAACAACGGGATTCATTCTCGAAGGAAAGGGAGCCACGATTGATAATGCAGGAATGTTTGCTGCTGCGTGTACAAATGCTGATGCGCCTTGCCGCTGGATCAGGTTATCGACGTTGACAGCCTGTACGCCGCCATCAATGCCTGTTTGTATCGATCTGACTTCCCGTTTATCGGGCCAAGACGTCCGGCCAATGTCTCCACTCCAAAGGGGGGAAACGTCACATCAGATTTCTTCTCTCTCTCTCTCTCTCACACACACACACACACACACACACAAAACCATTGTGTGTGGCTCGATCTAGTTCGAAACCAAAGTTGCTTCTCAGTTTAAGTAAAAATTATAACAGCTAGCTTCGTTTCCTGTTTTTGCCACTTGCGCAAAGATGTCGCAAGATGGCACGCTTAATTTGTGTCACAGGGCCCTATAACTGATGGTAGCCGCTGTGACCGTAAACCCGAGCTCACACGCATCCCGCCAGCTGAAGGTAATAAATGGTGGTAGCCAGGGGCAGTCCGTCTGTGCATGAACAACATCAGTCTGCTGACAACAACATCCATGTCTACTGTATACCGTCCCAACCGGTCCAGCCAGAGCATTACCAACCGTATACACCATCTCTCGTCACTCGCCTCTTTTATCGGATGTGTGGACCACGAGCATCGCTTAGCTGGAAAACATGAGGCGAAAGGGACAGTATGTATACACGGACGCGATTTACGACCGCATAAGTCCCCGCGCGCGATGTCCCAGCACACCAGGGCCGGTACAGAACAAGCAAACACGCGCGGGAGGGTTCTCGGCTAGCGTGGTGAATAACGCGTAGGGTATGACATGTGCGTTTACGCAAAACGCCGAGTGGGCTATCTTTGGTAGGAACACAACGCTTGGTCGCTTTCCCAGCTCGTTCTTTCATTTCCCGGTTCGGTGAGTCACGTCTTGAATGGTTCCCCATTGTCGGTGCTGCCCCCTTGGTTATAGCGTGCGCGCCCTCTGTATATACAAAGAGACGGCGCATGCGCGACAGAAACCCGGGAAATGTCCGTCCTCTAGAAACCTGACGAGCTGCGGTTCTGTTGAGGAGAGATGTTGTAGCAGTGTGTGTGTGTGCTTGTGTGTGTGATTTTACGGGCAGGCGAGAGATATAGCTGACGGTTCGCAGCCGTTGTCTCAAGTTTGAACTGTTGTTGGGGACGCGCGATCGAAATAGCCGTGGGTGCCGCGCACTGTCGTTTATGTTTAGCCTCACCGATGGAGCAGGGCATTCGAGGTGTGACACATACATGGCACATTGACGGACGCAACTGCTGTCGTCGACTCTTTCAGCAGGGAAGCGACAACAGGGCGGTCAACGAGAAAGACAGGGACAACAACTGCGCAACTGGTGTCGACTCCTAACATATGTCTTTGAGGGGGTGGGAAAACAATGACGGATCAAATACCGCGTGACGTGGTGATCATTGATTGGGGCGTGTGAGCCCGAAGGAAGGACACAGATAGCTACCAGGAAAAGGAAATCGACAAACGTAGCACGAAGTGACTAGAAAATTCATACGGATTTTGGGGGCGAAGCTCCTTATGGTCTAGGGCAGTCCCGCGTTCTGCTGGCGTAGCCAGCACAACATATGTACAGACAGATAGACGGATGGACGCTTCGCTCTACTTGTCATTATTCATTCGGTGGATATGCTATTCTTTTTATAAAGAAAACCTTTTAGTTGCTAAAACATTCGTCGTGGCCCGGAAATTGAACCTTCGTGGGACGAACACTTTTCCTGGGATGGTCACTCTAGCGATTGAGCTAACCAGAGAGCTATAGTAGTTGGCAGCGTGGTGGTGCATTGATCGACAACTCAAAGCACAGCTCGAAGCACCCTTCCGCCACATCGCCGGAGAGAGAGAAGAAATATAAGGCAGAAAGGTTAACTAGACTACGTCCAGTTTGCGACCCTACACGTGAGGAGAGGGAAATAAGGGAGTAAAAGAGAATGAAGGGGATGCACACACTGCCCACCACACACACAGTGCAGGGTTTCACAGGGGGTGGCTCAATGATTTTGCCTTCAAGAATTGTAGAAGGGCTCGCGTAGGTTTCTGTTCTGATGCACTGTGAGACCATGCAATCAAGAACTTTTCCCTAGTAAAGGGACGACCATCCTGTCCACTGGAGGTCCAAGGCCCACTGGAGGTCCAAGGCCCACTGGAGGTCCAAGGCCCACTGTAGAGTCAGATGATCTTTTGTTGAAAGTCGGGACAGTGGCATAGGACTTAGTCAAGAGTTTCTACGTAGTTGCTTTTATCACATTTCGGTGACTGAGCCATATCAGTGCGATAGCTGAATGAGTTGGTAAAGGCCGCACCGATCCACAACCGACACAGTGATGGGACTGCGCACAACGTATTTACACATAGGTTTGGTTCCTTCACCGTGTAATGTACTCGATCACTTTGCCTAAAAGAAACAGCCCTGATATAAATAAGGTAC